CCATAAGCCAAAACTTAGAACATACAGAACTTTTATGACAAGAATTTCAAAACCGCCAGCATATCTCCTGTCCGTATCTAACAAACAGTATAAATGTTCAATGACATCCCTCCGCCTTACCAACTTCAAACAGAGAGAGGTCGGTACCATAACATTGCCGAAAAAGACAGAATTTGTAGACACTGCTCTAACAATATTGTGGAGGATGAGTTTCATTTTCTAATGGAATGTACAAAACATGAAACCATTCGAAATAATATTTTGTACCCTGCCTTATACGCCAACAGTCTACCATTCTCCTTCGATGTCATGTTTGACCCACCCTCACCAGTTGCAAAATCTGTGTGCTCATTTGTTTTTCATGCTTTCAAAAACAGAGAGTGATGACTCGATGCCTTCTGCCTTATTTACAATAAACAACATAATTTAACTCCGAAACAAAAGAGTCCTAAAGGAAGCACAATCACATGCCTATTATCCCCCCTTCTTACTTTATATACATAATAATACGTTCGTTATTTGCTACATGTATATTTGTTGCATTGTATTAATGTTCGTTTATTTGTTACATGTATATTTGTTGTATTGTATTTATGTAATTTTTGTAATTGTATGCTGTTCCTCGTGGGCGTTTTTATGCAATAAATTTACTTTACTTTACTTTACTTTACATATAAGAACTGTAAAAAGTAAACTTTTAGTTCAAAATATGAATTTGTTTTAAGACTTGAACTCAGATATGCTGCTGAAAATTAAAAAAAAAACCAGCTTAACATTGAATAAAAAATTCTTTAACTGGAGAAAAAAAATCTTTTATGTTTGATAAACTCCTAGATGACTTGTAAGTCAGTAACCTAGGATTCGTAACCTAGGACCAATATTTCCTTAAAAACAGCTCAAATATTCAGATTCTGTCTAAAATGGACAGATGAGATTTAGCTAAACTCGAAATGCTTATGCTCAGTGTGCCCCTCTGAAATGTGCCCCACGTACTGTGCCCTGTCATCAACCATGTCAGAAAATCGAAAATGGCAGGAAGACATGTGATAGTATTATGAAACAAAATATTTCTAATGTCAAATAGGCCTACTATCTCCTTCACCTGGGATTTCAAGTTTGTGGACTCTAACAAAATCTGGAGTAGCCAAGCAGTTTAACCAGTCCGCCAAAAATTCACCTTTGCGTCAGAAAAACAGTTAATGGCCGATAAATATTAATCAGCTTTCATGAATTTATTGAATTTAGGAGGACAAATGGGGGCCGTATAGAGGAATTCCCCAGTGATGTCACAATTGAATTTTCCCAAAACAGTTAAAAATTACAAAGCCTGGCTTACTGTGTCCCGCTCTCCCCTACCTTGACTAAGTTTGATAATGATCATTTTCTGCTCAGGGTAAGAGTGATATGCAGTTTGATTGGCCGAGACTTTGAACATTCTAGCTCAATTACAAAGAGAGCTTTTGTGTTCCAGACTTGGTGTGGGTGTTTATTAGGCCAATGCCTAGATGGAGTTCGAAGCAGGCACGTAGCCAGAGGGTGCAAGGCAAGGGGGGCAATGCCCCCCCGAAAAAAAGTTTTGCCCCCCCCCCCGAAAAAAAATTTGCCGACCATAGCTCTAAAATACGTAGACTGTGCCGGGTGTGCCACCCCCCTAAAAACCTCACTGCCCCTCCGAAGCTAGCAAGCTGGCTACGGGCCTGGTTCGAAGATAAGCTTAGGCAGTTAGGGTAAGCAGAAATAAGCAATTAATTTGATTGGTTGATGCTTTGGGAAACGATAACTTTAGTTCTAATAGCGGACGTTAAATAAAGCTATTTCACATGCACACCTAGTTACTATACTTGTAACTTTAAACTGTGGCTGGAGTAAGGCGGAAGACATCAGTAGTGGAACAATTTCTAACGCACACCCTGCTGAACCTAAACTGGACCCCTACAATCATGAATGTTAAAAGCCGAATTTACTGCAGGTCTAACTGTGAAATAATTTTTATTTGAATTTTTAATTGCCGCAAGGTATAATTACGGAGTGACGACGATCGAAGGACCTAGAATTTCTAAAGGGTAAAGGACCGAGCGAAATCTCTCACCCGTATTCGAAATGAAGTTAACACACACATTCCTAGCTACGAGAACGTAGCTAAAAACGTTGAGATATACTGATGTGTTTGGGTTTTTTTTTTAGCTACGATTGGATGCCTTTAGTTCCAAGTGGCAAACTCAATTTCCTTATTAATGCATGTAACATCTTTAAAATAAGATAAGTTTATGTTATTATGATTAATTAAACTTACAGGGGCCAATGTAGTGGCAATACTGTCGCCTAACTCCAAATATTCGCGTCTTAATTAATGAAGCGTTGTTTTTGTCTGACATTCACCGCCATCGAAATCCATTCATAGTTACAGTGCTTTAGATTGCCCTTTTGATTGGCAGCGTATCGTTTAAAAAGATGGCGGGCTTAGTAACGGCTTAACGCCTCGATTTTAAAAACGACGATTTGTACCCGTTTCAGGTAGGATTATATGCTTAATTGTAGTTGGGTGTGGCAGAAATATTATAAATAACAATAATCAATCGTTGTCTTGATTAAAACTATTGTCATAACTGTTGGTATAACTCGATACGCCAACATAGAAAGTTAATGAAATTTGGTATGTTCATACCTTATCCATCTGTCGATTTGGTGCAATAAAGATCTTGGAGCCACTATAATACTATAAGGGTTTATTTTAGTTATAAGAAAGGTGTTCTGTTTAATATAGAAATTCGTTACCTACATGATGTGTGACCGAAACTAGGGTAATGAAGCAGCTTGCATTATCCTACTACTATCTTAGACTAACTTACCGACGTTATGTCAGTATCCATTGCTGGAAGTAGGGTACTATAGTCCAGTCATCTCGTGCACGGATTAGTACAATTAAATAGAATAGTGTTGACGTAAAACGTTGCCTATACGAAATACTTACTCAAAAATGGTAATTGTCCCGCCCTAATAGATGACGCATTATACTTCCTCTATAGGAGAGAGCTTGTTTGATTTATCATCAGACTATCATTCAGAGCTCAGGGGAACATATCCATAGCCTTGGCTTTGAGGCTAGGGTGAACACATCATCCTAGCGCGAACCTTATGTAAAACTAGCAAGAAGTATGTGGCTCTTGGTACGTTTAGGCTGTTAGGTCTGAGTTAGAAAGGATATTAAACTCAGACCGTGGATATTTTAATAACTCAAAAAGTACTATCATAACTTTGTAGTTTGATGTATTTGTTTAATTATATAAACTTAGTAACAAGATAAACGGTGTTCAAGAGTCAGTCAATTGAAGATTGAAATAATTGATCCCACAACGTGAAGTCGAAGAAACGCCTAGACGTTAATGTCATAGCTAATTCTTTTTTAGTGCCGTGAAAGTGTCACACATCTTCCCCATAGTGTCACACCACCAAAGCTCGTTTAGAAGTTATTGCGTGCGCGATGAGCCTACCCTTACCCGATTCCCCCATAGTTTTAGTATGTTTACGGTGATATATCTCGAAAAGCCAGCATAGGAAGCTTCTGACATTTTGTATTCTAGTAGTTTATTCATCCCTTGATTCCATGAAACAAAATACATTTTGCCACCAAAGCTGGTTTGGATGCTTTTTGATGCAGCTTGAGCGTACCCCTTGTTTATTGACCCCCCCCCCTCCCCCAATGCCGCCTCGAATCCGGGTGCTAGGAACACCTAGCTTGCGGTGGTATAACTCGATACGCCAACATAGAAAGTTAATGAAATTTGGCATGTTCATGCCTTATCCATCTGTCGATTTGGTGAAATAAAGATCTTGGAGCCACCAAAGCTAGTTTAGAAGTTATTGCGTGCGCAGTGAGCCTACCCTAACACGATTCCCCCATAGTTTTAGTATGTTTACGGTAATATATCTCAAAAAGCCAGCATAGGAGGCTTCTGGATTTTTATATTCTAGTAGTTTATTCATCCCTTGACTCTGTGAAATCCAATACATTTTGCCACCAAAGCTGGTTTCGGTGGGTTTTGATGCAGCGTGGACGTACCCCTTTTCTGCGTGCTAAGTTAGCCTAGTGTGCGATGGTAATAGTATTTTTTTATTTTTTTTTTTGCATATATACTTTGCATTAATATGTCTTAAAATTTTATTTTCTAATAAAAAGGTAACAATTATTTTAGTGATAATAAAATGTAGGTTTTTATTGGCGCTAGGAATATGTGTGGGCTAACTTCATTTCGAATCCGGGTGCTGGAATACGGGTGAGAGATTCCGCTCGGTTGAAGTTCCAGGGTGGATTTACTTGAGTATTATTTTTAGGCAATTATAACCATATTGTGTGCATGTAGGCGAGGAATTACATGTAGACTAAAATTAGACCCAAAATAATTTCATCACGATAAAGAAAAAAAAAATCTTTTAAAAAAACAATCTTATGTTAAGACGACTTACGAGCTTATCGTTCTTTAATCGTTATATATATATTTTTTTTTAAACTAGCTAAAACTATAAAACACTATTGCAGAGTGTGATAATTGATGAAAAATAAAAACCGGACCCGCAGACCGAAGTATACAAAACCGTCGTGCCATTCTTAGACAACTTCGTTTTCCCCATCTCTCATGGCTACATTTGGCCGTATTTTCTTAATTTCAACAAACAAGCCCTGTTTAATCACGGATGTAAATTTTAAATAGTCTCGAGTAGATGCAGCCATGCGATTCTGGCCTACGTCATTATATAATGGGGTTCTCCGTGACTATTTTTAATTTTAATGGGTGAGCGCTCTGTTTGAATATCCTGGTAGTAATCCTTTAGTGAATATGAAAGTAATAATTTGGTTGCAAGACCAGAGGCATTTGGTAAGCAAGAGAACAGAATAAGTTTCAATTTCGGACATAAAAATCCAGGTAGCACCACTAGTACGTAGGGTTTCCCCATGGTGTTAAATATGGTTAAATATAGAATCAAGCTCCCAGCCAAGTTGTCTGAAAGCGAGGCAACCTTTTATCTCGTCAGAATGACACCGTTTTATTGATTAGATGGGTCAACACTTTCACACAATTCAGTCTGGTGGTAAAAGTAATCTCTGTAGGAATTGACCATTGTCTGAGACACGTGTCACATTTTATGAATTAAATCACATATTTCAAGTTATTGGTTAGTAGAAAAATAAACGTGATCATACAGCCGGATATCTCACAAAACAACACGACAAATTGACGACGTCGACAGTGTGAGTGAAGTCACATCAATCACGCCGACAGGAGTGTGCTTTTGAACTTCTCATTCTCTGGTAAAGTGTTGTTATTGAATAACCAAGTTTCCTTCAAGAACTAGATCTGTTGTAAGTATAACCCCGATAAATCATCTTGCTTGGTATATTTCTAGATTCTGCTATATTTGTGTAACTAATATAATAATATTTGAATAATTTGATGGAACATATCATATAAGTTTACGGAATAGGCCTAGTGGCACATGTACTATGTTACTAATAACTATTATTATTTACACTAATACTATGTAGGATTCCCTATGCAAAATCATTTTTTGACAAGAGTAATTCATTTTTTGACAAGAGTAATTCATTTTTTCTGTTATAGTGAATACAGTTTGTGTTGTTATGTGGGTGGGACTGGTGAACAGAGTAGCCTACATTCTGTCTTTTATGAATATTTACGTACCGTCCACATATATCCAACATTTACAGATAATTATCTACCCTATTCCCTAGAAAACCTATTTAACCCACCCAAAACAGTTGCAAACTCAGTTAGTGCGTTTTTATTTCATGCAATGAATCTAAGGACATAAAATGTGTACAGCTACATATAGCCTATCTCTAGAGACCTTTTTGTATCAAAATTATTCTTTAGATTTCCATGAATTAATATATTTCATTCCATATTCTATTACTTGATTCATGTCATTATTATAGCATCCCTATATTATAAATACCTATACTAAGTCTTCTCGTTATTTATGTATTTATAATATTTATACTTATACCCATGCACCATAATTGTATTGAATGCTGTGCCATTATCAAACCCGTTTGAGGTAAATGTGCACATTAGGCTACATACTGTTGTCCAGTTAGTAAATCTATAGGCCTATTATAAGCTAGATTGAAATTACTGTTGTCTTATTTGTAAATATCATTTGTCATATTGTTATAAATAATAATGTACATGTTTATATTGTACGTTTTCCTAAATGGATGTTTCGATACAATAAAATCTTATCTTATCTTATCTATGCTACCTGTAACTGCTAGTAGGTACATATTCCATGGATCTTATATTTTATAAGGTCCATGCATATTCTTACTCAAACAACTTTTTAATCAGTTGTACATTTAAAGTAAACCTTTCCTTAAAATCTGGGGGGTTGGATGGCCGAATGGTTAGCACGCTAGCACTGTATCATACGGTCTGTCATTGAGTCAACTGGCGGGGTTTCGATTCCCCGATTGTACGTGACAAGCAGTAGGGTTGCCTGTCCAACCTCGTGGGTTTTCACTGGGTCCTCCGGCTTCCTCCCACAGCTAAAGACCCCTACGCGCAAGCGAATTATGGAAATAAAATCGAACCATATGTTAGTCCCGAAATGACCTAGTTTGTGTCAAATGGACGTTAAACCCCATTTCTCTCTCTCTCTTTCTCTCCTTAAAATCTACTTTAATTCATGTATTGTAGGTGACAGTATTAGACAATGGCATTCCAGAAGAATAATCGGTTGTTGACATTACTGTGTTGGGTGATGTGTGTTTATAACGTCCAAGCCTACATTGATGGACTTTATTGTGGCAAGGAAAATTGTTATGATATATTAGCAGTTACAAGAGACTCTACAAAGGGGGAGATAACTAAGGGCTATCGTAAGTTGGCACGACAATGGCATCCTGATAAACATAAGACTGAGGAAGCTAAAAAGGTTGCCCATGAGATGTTTCAGAAAATTGGAAATGCCTACGAAATTCTTAAAGATGATGCACAACGAGAAGACTACAATTACATGTTAGACAATCCTGATGAATATTATTCCCATTATTTCTATTATTATCAACATAGGTTGGCACCTAAAGTTGATATTAGAATTGTTATTGCTGTCACCATTACCGTTGTATCGATCATCCAATATTTTGGTGCTTGGAATAATTATAATTCGGCCATTGATTATTTGTGTAAGGATCCAAAATACAGAGCTCGGGCTATAGACACGGCTGTTAAAGAGAAACTGCTTAATAATGCTTCTAATAAGGGTAAATCCCGGAGAATTAAAATCAAGGAGGATGAAGAACAGGTTATCAGGGAGGTTATTGAATCGAATATGGACATTCGGGGCGGCTACCAAAAACCCAAATATACTGATGTGTTGTGGATTCAGTTGATTTTCTTGCCTTATTACATAGTTCTGTACATGATTTGGTGGTTAAAATGGACCTGGAAATTTACTATAATGAGAACAGAATATGGAGAAGAAGAAAAATATTACCTTATCAAAAAATATATGAAATATGGAAAAACGCAGTGGGATGCAATTGAAGATTATGATAAAGAGAACTTTTTGAATCTTGAACTTTGGAAAAAAGAAAATTTTAAGGAATGGAAAGCTCAACAAGATGAAGAAATGAAGGCAAAATTAGCCGAGAGTGCAAGGTATAAAAGTTACAGACGATATATGAAGAAAGGTGGCCCAGGTCAAATAAGTTTTGGACCAGAGTAGACCATGGTTGTATATCAATGTGCCTTGACGTTCTATGCTATAGATAGGATGGTATCACTTTGCAAAAGTTATTCCCATTTCAGTTTGTCTTATTCTTGATCAATTACAGGTTCAGAAGAGCAATTACTGAGAAAGGCAAAAACTCTTTCTTTGTGATCATATTCTATTGGCTTTTCTTGATGGGTGTGGGCTGAATATTAATACTGGATAATCACATGTTTTCAATGTAAATCCATCAGAAATAAACCTAAATAATTACCACTTCAGCAAGTACCAAAATACATCCTTCTAAACTCTTAGTTATTTTTTGTTGGAAATATAAATGTGGTTGTTTGTACAGTATGTTATTGAATGATTAAGAAAACTCCCATGTTTTATTCATACTGGTACCAGGCTAAAACATGGTCATGGATTTTCTTGGCGCTGTGTTACTTCTATTCATTACATGATGTGCATGTATGTATGGAGATACCTACTCAACTGAACATATAGTACTGGAATAATTCTTGTAGAATTGATCTATTAATGTGAGAAGTTTCTTATGTAAACCAATTTTTAATTTATTCTACTTTACTATGATTTCATGCAAGTTATTGACAATTGTATTTAAACTACCTCTGAAATATAGATGGAAGTCACAACTATTAGTACAGTCATTTATCAGTCAAACTTCTATCAGATATTTTTAAAAGAAATTATAAAATCAAATTCAGAATCAATATTTTGAGATAGACCAAATGTCTAACTGGATTTGACTGATATCTATTGTTGTATTTCCTGTACACCATTTGTAATATTACTCCCAGTGCATTGTAAAATAGATTTCTCTACCTATACATTCGTACATGTATATGTTCCTAAGTGTTGAAGTAATAATGTAGTCATACATTTGTTAATTAAACCCAATAAAATGAATATCTTGCCAGTTATTCTGTTCTGTACAAGAAAATCTATATTTATCAGTTTGTATCATTGAAGATTAAATAATTGATCTTACTGTTTGATGTAAAAAAACCTCACAAATTTATATAGTTATTGTAGTTATGTGTAATTAGATTTTCAAAAGGAAAACATTCTTAACTTTCAAAAAATACCTTCAGGTAACAGGTACATGTACCATTAAAGATTTACTGTGTATGTTACGGTTCAATAAAAAGTTGGACAATTTAGTGAAGAAAATTGTAGAAGGAAATGTGGTCTTTGAATAATTATTTATGTGTAATTGGAATACACACTAGTCTACAAAAAATATTAATGTTATTAACTGTACATAAACTGGTGATTTATATCATTATCGGTATTAAACCTTCCTTTGTTAGAAAGCAAGTGACTTATACGGAGTGCATTCCAGTTAAATAAATAGTTGTATAAAGCTTAGTTATGATGGCCTAAGGCATTTAGCACTAAAAGTGACAATAAAATTTATCTTCAAGGCACAATAAATATTTATACTGCCAAATTTCCGTTATGTTGAATTCTATTTTGTTTTTCTCATTTGTCCAATCAGCTGGACCAGGTAATAAATTACATATACTGGTATATGGTACATGTACCTAAATTTACAAAAATAGTCTTGTAAATAACATTGAATCAAGTCAATGCCAATAATTATATAATATTAAATTGGAAATACAAATATGGTTTATTCGAGTTGTTGGACACTTCATTAGATACAGAAGCCATGGTGGCTCAGTGAGTAAGACATGGTCCCATGCCATGTTCTATGCCTGCTTTGGCTGTGAAAGTTCATCAGGATTTTCCAGCATGGTCCCCATTTGTCAGTGGCGCAGAACAGAGGGCCTGGTAAGGGACAACTTATAGTTTGTTGGGATATACAAGTTTGCATGCACGTAAAAGATCCCGTAGCCAGTAGCGCCACTGTCCGGGCAAAATTTCCCTCATAGCACAATGTATGGTGTCTGCTCGTCTTCATTAGCTCTGTCGGAGCAGAACAGTAGGACATTAAACCCTGTTTTATTTATTTCATTAAATACATTATTGGTGCTGATATTGTATAAAATCAGACCATATGTTACAAAACAACTATGGTAATATTTTTCTTAGTATAATAAATTCGAGTATTTTTTTTTTATTAGAAATGTTGGGGGAAAAAATCATTTATTTTAATGTATCAATTCATTACCAGTGATAGATTTCATTTGACTTTTAAAATGACAAGGAATCCGTTTTTCAAAAAAAAAAAATATTAATATGAAAATGTTGATTATACAAGTTGGGGAAGGGGAACATGAATCTTCATCAATTTCTTCCATATAAGTACTTCCTTTACCTAGTCAGTTTTATATATAGTGATTATAACAATTTGATCAAAACACACATCCTATTTTGTTTCGTTTGTTATAGTTTTTAGCCAATGAAACGGTCTGTTACGGCGACTGCACGGAACTGTGGGTAAACCACTAGAACCATCAGTGCTGGTTGATTACTCGGTCTGACGTCATAGGGTCAAAAGCCTCTTGTATGACCTCAGACGTGACCTGAGGGTCACGGTGGCTAAGTGGGTAAGACACTGGCTTGCTAGCCTGGAGTTTGGGTGTTCGATCCCTGCATTGGCTGAGAAAGTGCATCCAGATTTTTTGGCGTGGTTCCCCCCTTGTCAGTGACGCAAGAAGGAGGGCCTGACAAGGACAGCTGTCTAGTCATTCGGATGAGACAAAAAACCTGAGGTCCCATGTACACCTTGATGTGCACATAAAAGATCCCTTGACAGTTGGAATTGGATATAAGAGTAGGCCGTAGTGCCACTGTCCGGGCAAAAATTTCCCTCATAGCACACTGTACGGCATATGCCCGTCTTCATTAGCCCAGTTCGGAGCAGAATAGTAGGACGTTAAACCCCATTTTATTTCATTTCTGACACAACCTCCCTCTACAACCAGTCAGATCTTCATGTAGTGTAGGCCATTGAAAGAATATATAAAAAAAACGAAATATAGATCTGTATTTTAATCAGATTGTAATTATATAATTTTTGTGTTATTCAATTTCATTAATGCAATGTCAGTATGTTGTATGATTGAATCCCAAGTTTTCAGAGTGCCTTTACCCCAGCTACTGATTAGCACTTAGGTTATAAATGTGCTGCGAAAAACCTGTGATTGCATGCTGTTCTTGTGGACTGTGTTAATCCTAAATGTTATATCAGTAAATTTATTAAGTTTCATAGTTTACACTCTGCGATGATATATTAAGTTTCATAGTTTACACTCTACGATTGTATATTAAGTTTCATAGTTTACACTCTACGATTGTATATTAAGAACTTTTAAAACTATTAATGACAATAATACCAGATTTACGTATTAAATGTGATTTTTGTGTTACCAGGTATTTGTATTTATAGAGATTTAATTTCACCAATTAAACAGTATTTGGTACAGACAGACATAAGCACAACCCTACATTATAAGCCATATTACATGTGTAAGGCACAATCCATGATTTTTCAGTCAGTTGGTGTACATGGATATGTAGGGCAATAATTTCTGCACTTTGAACTGACTACACATTCCTTTGGAAACCTTGCTGTTCAGTAAAAAAATCATTTTTGATTTGATGTGATATGACTAAACAGTTACAGTGGGGAAGGTGGATGTTTAAATTTAAATTGTATGCACAATTTAAGATAGGCCTGCCAGTCCATCCCTCACATTTAGATGTTTTATAATACCAACAAGTCACATGCATTATATAGCCAGTTTTAAGGAGTTAGTGGGCCCTTATGCCAGTTGTTAGATGTTCAACAATTAGCTGAACCTAGTATTTTGAACATGATATGATGTAAAATTAATAACTCTCATTTCAAATCAAAATATCGAACTGGTTGGAAATGATCTTTAGGCTACATACTCATTTAAGGAATTTCATTCTTCTCTTCAACCGGAAAGAAATTCTTTAAATGAGCTGGAGGTAGCCACAATGGCTCAGTGATTAAGGCATTGGCTGCCTGAATAGAAGGTGATGGTAAAATTTTCCGATGTTTCTAGTCATTCGGAAGGGGTGAAACACCAAAGTCCTGTGTACAAGTCGGAGTGCATGTGAAAGAACCCTTGACAGTTGGAATTCAAAATAAGTGGTTCTAGCATTGTCCAGGCAAAATTTCCCTCATTGCACACTGCAAATCTTATCCCTGTCTTCATTTGTCGACTTAGTGCAGAAAAGTAAGACGTTAAACCCCATTTCATTTTTTCAACCTTGGCAGGGTTAGCCAGGCATCAATACTTAAATTACATACATTATGCAAGAGCTAAATCTGCCTATTGCAGGTTTTTTCTTTAGGTCTGAATGTTATCTAAATTATTAATTAGACATTATTAACCACTCTCGATGTCATCATCACTAGCCTGCGATGTTTATTGGATTAGGTTCAGATTTGCTGTTTGACTTCCATTCAAGATTTAATTGTGAAATGGATAATCAAGACTATGTTTTTTATCGTACAGACTTTAGTAATGATGATGAGGCTAGGCCGGAAATTCAATCGCTAAAATCTTGGTTCAGAGTCGATCAATTTAACTGAAATTTTCAGCAAATTCCCTATCTTGTTTTTAACTATTATAGTGAGAACTGCCAGCTCTTTATCTAATCTCCCATAATGTATCTTTAAAGTTTTCAAGTGTACCATGCAGCTTCGGATATTTGTTGATAAAAGTTTGCAAGATCCTTTCACTGTGAATTTATCAGTTTTATTCACTAAGATATATTGGGAAAACTGCTTCTTTAACCATCACTTTATTCTAATTATAAACAAACAAGCTCAAGTAAATAATACATGTATTTATTATTCATTAGAGAAACATTACACAGTTTTATTAAACAGTGCATTGCATTAATCATTAGCCTCCTATATTTACATTGTCATACACACTGATTCAATACATAAATTTTTACACTGTCTGTACTACAGATAATTTATATCAACAATACATTCAATGCTCGTTTTGTATTTGTTGTAACATTAAAATTGTAATACACTTTTTATTTACAAAACAAAACTATTATAATTATGACATTATTTTAAAGAGGATTTAAAACATTGAACAAGAAAATAATGGTATTAATTTCATATATAAGATTCATAATAACCCATGGCTAACTTACAGAATTTTTTTACGAGCATCAGCCGAAATTTTAAAACAACTATAACAAGCTATAGTAAAATGCTTGCAACTTGTACAGAATCTGAACACAAATATATCTCCATGATGTATAATCCTTTAGTGGCATTTAGCAATTGGAAACATAACAAAACTGATACAGTTATATAGGACAACAATCACTGGTTTATTATACATAAGCACAACGTTTCGATAAGTATTCTCTTATCGTTACCAAGCTACGATAAGAGAATACTTATCGAAACGTTGTACTTGTGTATAATAAACCAGTGATTGTTGTCCCATATAACTGTGTCAATTTTGATCTCCATGATGAATAGGCAGATTGTCTCAAATTTTGCATGGAATCTTATTTGAACAGAACAATATAACTTAACTGAAGTGTCAAATTACAGAAAATAGCCAAAAGAATTTATGGACCAGCAAATATCTCTATAAGTTTTAATGTAGTAAATACATCCATGACATGATTATGTATTTTATTGACCCAGAAATGATTATGAGACTGAATTCCTCTAATATTTTTTCATTAACTATCTTTAAGATCTGCAATATTTTTTTCTGGCCTATCTTTAAAATAAATTTTCTATGGTACACATAGTTCTACATGCCGGTACATGTATGTCTGTTTCAGATTTATTTCAATTATTTTATATGTTAATCACCACATTGTGGTAAATAATAATTTAATATCAACAAGCCAACGTGAGGCTGATGTCCCCCGCCGAAATCCTAAAATAAACAGATGGACACATAGTAATTAATCGCACATTTATTTTTTCAAAAGTATCAAGGCTTCAAACTATACACTAAGTTTCATCACTCCCTATCAGATTCAGATAGAATCAAGATTATCTTGTCCCAAAGCATCGACCAATGAAATTGATTAGCTCTGCTTAGTTTCAGCTCGAAATGTTAATCATTGAACATCTACATCAAGTTTAAACATTCTACCTCAATAAACTTCAGAGTTGTTATTTTGCAAAGTCTTGACCAATCAAATTGCTTATCGCTCTTTAGCCTAAGCAGTAAATTCACACCATCAAACTTAGTCAAGATGATATAATGAATCTATATTCGGAGTTTCGTCGCTCTCACTTCATTATAACCAAGGTTATCGTGCCCCAAAGCATTAACCAATCAGATTGCTTATCTCTGCTTACCGTAAGCAGAATAATGTTCATCATCATACTCCATCAAGGCATTCACCTAATGAACGCCTACACCAAGTTTGAACATTCTACCTCAATTAGAAGGAGAGTTATTGTGTTTCAAAGTCTCGGCTAATCAAATTGCTTATCGCTCTGCTTACCCTCAGCAGAAAATGTTCATTATCGAACTTAGTCAAGGTATTGATGTAAAAAAAGCTATACACCAAGTGTCCTCACTCTCACTTAGACATACATTATGCAAGAGCTAAATCTGCCTGTTGCAGGTCTTTCTTTAGGCCTGAAATGTTATTGTCCCCCGCCTTTCGAAGAAAGCAGGGGACTATTAAAATGGGTTCGTCCGTCTGTCTGTCCGTCCGTCCGTCTGTCTGTCCGTCACACTTTTTGGGACACAATAACTCTCTTCCTAATTGAGCTAGAATGTTCAAACTTGGTGTATGTGTTTATTAGGTCAATGCCTTGATGGAGTTCGAAGATGAGCATTTTCCGCTTAGGGTAAGCAGAGATAAGCAATTTGATTGGTTGATGCTTTGGGACACGATAACTCTCTTCCTAATTGGGCTAGAATGTTCAAACTTGGTGTATGTGTTTATTAGGTCAATGCCTTGATGGAGTTCGAAGATGAGCATTTTCCACTTAGGGTAAGCAGAGATAAGCAATTTGATTGGTTGATACTTTGGGGCACGATAACTCTCTTCCTAATTGAGCTAGAATGTTCAAACTTGGTGTATGTGTTGATTAGGTCAATGCCTTGATGGAGTTCGAAGATGAGCATTTTCCGCTTAGGGTAAGCAGAGATAAGCAATTTGATTGGTTGATGCTTTGGGACACGATAACTTTAGTTCTAATTAAGTGAGATTGATGAAACTTGGTGTATAGTTTCATTACAGTAATACCTTGACTAAGTTTGATAATGAGCATTTTCTGCTCAGGGTAAGCAGAGCGATACACAATTTGATTGGTCGAGACTTTGGAAAACAATAACTCTCCTACTTTGATTGTTAGACTATAAGTAAAGATATACTGTTTGATTGTTCAATACTTTGTAAAAGATAATTTGTGATAAATTTATATGTGTCCTCTAATTATTTTCCTATTTCGGCGGGGGACATCAGCCTCACTGTTGGCTTGTCTAAATATTAATTAGACATTAATTAATTTATCCAGGCCATAATCAACTCTCGATGGCATCGAATTTCTCTGATATTTAATAGATTAGAACAGTTCAGCCAAATTTTGATTTAAGCTAATTTGAATGAAATTTTCGAATTATTCATTTTACATTAACTATTTTCGAACTATTTTAGTAAGAATGGCTACCTCTTTATCTAAATCTTACATAATGTATCTTTAATTAGAACTAAAGTTATCGTGTCCCAAAGCATCAACCAATCAAATTGCTTATCTCTGCTTACCCTAAGCAGAAAATTCTCATCTTTGAACTCCATTAACCCTTTCAATGCTAGACTTAAATCCACTGCCTGTGCTAGACCCTTTTTTGAGGAAAAAAGGGAGGTTGGAACTGAATGCCAAGCAGTACTTATGGAAGCTTTTATGAAAAATCTTTTTGTCTGTTGGGATGGGCATGAGGTTGGGCTAAGAGGAAAAAATAGAATTTTGGAAATTTGCATAATAATGTAGTCAAGTGACGTCATGGCGGCCATTTTGGATTTCTCATTTCACACTAAAGCTAACACGAAAACGAATTTTTCTCCATGAAATACTTAAAAGATATTGTTTTTTTTACTGGATTTTGATAAAGATATATAAAATGAACAAAAATATCAATAGCAGCCATGAGCAATGCCGCCGCGAACACGCGCATCACGTCTCCCGCTGCCATGACCACGTGCGGATTGCAATACCTTGTTTTTACTTTCACTTTCATCCCCAAGTCCCATATCATTATCAATATAGTCAGTCAATAGATCTACACGTTCGGGAATCAGGAATTACCTACGTATTTTACGATCCAGCAGGCCAGCATTATTATCAACATCAGAATTATTGTCAGAATCTACTGCAGACACAGGGCTATCGTGTTCACATTGGGCTTGTTCATCATGCACGGGAGACATAGCTAGCCATGGGCGGAACGTCGCGCAAAAAATCACACACTTCATAATACCAATCACTGTCCTGACTACTATCATTATCAAGTAACTGGAAACGAATTATGTGTATCACCCGCCTCGAAATTGTCCACATGTTGGTCAGCAAGACGTCATTCACGACTTCGTCGAGAGTGCATCGTCTACGTTGTCACAATGCACTCCGCCATTTTACGGTTTGCTGCTTTGAAACACGTGGAAATATGTTCTAGTGTATAGAAAATACAATAGATGGCACTTGCAGTTACGGTACTAATTTTAGCGAGGGCTTTACTGAGTACACGGTAATACCGGGTACGGGCATTTTACCGACATTTTATAATACCCGGTACTACCGGGTATACGCAGTGAAAGGGTTAAGGCATTCACCTAATAGACACCTACACCAAGTGTGAACATTGTAACTCAATTAGAATGAGAGTTATTGTGTTCCAAAGTCTTGACCAATCAAATTGCTTATCACTCTGCTTACCCTGAGTAGAAAATGCTCATTATCGAACTTAGTCAAGGTATTGATGTAATGAAACTATACACCAAGTTTCATCAATCTCACTTAATTAGAGCTAAAGTTATCGTGTCCCAAAGCATCAATCAATCAAATTGCTTATCTCTGCTTACCCTAAGCAGAAAATGTTCATCTTCCAACTCCATCAAGGCATTAACCTAATAAATACCTACACCAAGTTTGAATATTCTAGCTCAATTAGAAAGAGTTATTGTGTCCCAAGAAGTGTGACAGACAGACGGATGGACAGATAGACGGACGAACCCATTTTAATAGTCCCCATTTTAATAGGCGGGGGACAAAAATAAAATATTAACATATCACGATCTCTGTATTTGTATTTGGAATTTACCTGAAATGAAAATAAAAAAAATCTTTAATAGAGACTATTCCCAAAGTGTAATTTCTATTTAAACTAGAAAATGTGGTATAGAATATTGAAATTTCTATTTCTCCAAATCAATATATTTGTCCATATGTTGCAACTATTTGGTCAAAGAGTGAACAAAGGAATAAAGGAATTGTAAAGGTCCTAATTGATTTCCATAAACATCTGTTATTCTATAATTCCAAGTCTGGCATATTTAAATTGAATTATTGAATTACAAACACATTCTATTAACAAAATATCATATAACAATTTACTATGTTCAAGAATCTGTTCACATAACAATAGACCCTACATGCTTCAATAGTTTGTACTGACATTTTCAATATAAATGAGCAAATTCAGCTGAAATATTAATTAGTAAACACAGGATTTTATACATGTAGATATGTCATCATTTATTTATACACCCCTGTATTTATGTAAATTAGAAGAAACACCCACAACTTTGAGACCTGACTTACACTTAAACCAGTATATTAAACAGTGATGGTGTTCTCCCAAACCTGAACAGGTCTAGTCATTTTTTGATGAGCATGATCTTTTATAAATGTTCTGTATTTGTATTTAGAGTATAGTCTACAGAATTAATTCTCTAACTAAAACATTAATAACTTTGAAAGTAATTATCAGCTACTACATCTTATGAACATAAACACTGATGATAACTTTTGTTGTTAGAGCATTCACAAGATTCTACTAAGTGAAACAAGGACAATAGGGTTCTTCTTCTCACCAATTATGTAAACAAGATATATAAATTTTTAAAAAATCAGATGATGAAATGTAGTCTGTACATTTATGAACAGAAATTGTGGACACCAGACCAATGGACAGATGTAGGACAATACACAACCAAATTTCAATGTGTGTGCCCAATCACTAATCCAAACAACACACCACATCTAATTAACCCCAAATAAAGATTTTATATTAATTTAAACCAAAGATGTGTATCTCCTTTAGTGGAAAAATGTTTGAACTGCAAACATCCTCACAGAATTGGAACTAATAATATAGATAATTATCTTCTAGACACCATGCTAAAAAAAATATGTTTAAAAAAATTAAATAAAACCGTTCATGAAAAATATTATTTTTATACTCACATGCTGGCATTGCACTAACTTCTGCTGTGACTATACAATTTACACCCAGATTTGATAATGCTCCACGCAGAAGTCCACATGGAAAAGCCAAATACTGAAAAAAGAATATGGTGAATTTTAATTTCATAAATATAAACATATTCAGAATATTTTAGGATATTGCAGTTTCATAGGTACCACAATCTGATTAAAACACAGATCCTATTTCATTTCGTTTTTTATAGTTCAAAATTTTGTTTTACTTGTCTTCACTACACTAGGATGTGGAAGAGTTGTTGTATTACTGGCATTTGGTTGAAGTGAGGGATAAGCCAATGAAATGGTCTGTTACGGCGACTTCTTAGCATGCCATGCACGGAACTAGAAACGTCAATGCTGATTGATTAATTAATGTTTGATGTCATAGGGTCAAAAGCTGCTTGTACCACACCTGACACGACCTTATAGTACAACTTGTCAGACCTTCATGTAGTGTAGGCCATCAAAAAGTATAAAAAAACGAAACGAAATATAGATTTTTTTTTTTATAAACAATATTTTTATTCAGGATGTCTGAATGGGATTGTGGAACAGGCTTAGCCTATGTAAAACCCCTCTCCCTAGATAATATACATACATAGTATTACAAACAAAGGAACAAAATGGGTGTATATACACAGTTAAAATGACAAACACATACATATATAAGTGTAAATACATATATAAGTGTAAATACATATATAATGAGATGGATGGGAATGTACAATATATACTATATGTTACATTGTTACGTAAATTTAAAATTAATATGTAAATTAAACAACTAGTAAGCAAGATTAAAATCTGTTTGACATATCAATAAACTTGTGGACTTGGTTAAAAATATTGTTGTTTACATCGATACAGTGGGTTGCGGACCCAAACAGAATATAAAGAGCATTGCAGGAGGTAGTGATCAGGATCTTCAAAAATGTGACCATGTCAGAGGCATGCGGGGCTGTCAGCAACATGTCTGAGGTATTTGTGGCCCTATAGGTCAGAACATCAGAGTCTAAGTTTACTATGGATTATCTGGAGTTTCCGCTGACCAGTAGTAAATATTTTAAGAGTTCTTGAGTTTTTTACATGGGGGCTGAGTTTATTCCACTCTCTTATACTGGATGGGATAAATAATTTAGAAAATATTTCAGTACGACATCGAATTTCTTTCATTTTATCTGCATTTCGAAATGAATATGTACTTGTTGGTTCCAGATTAATGGGATTCTTAAGATAGGGAGGAGTAAGGTTATTTATAATTTTGTATAGTAATTTTACTTTGTGTCGATTTCATCATTGTTTGAGTGGAATAAACCCAGTTTCCGCGTAGAGGGAAAAGTGGCTAGTACCCTTAACTGCCCCACAAATAGTGCGTAGTGCATCAAGCTGAAGGGATTCGAGATTATTAGATAAGTAGTCCGTGCACCCGTCCCAGATAACATCGGCATAGTCAAAGTGCGGCAGAATGAATGAAGATTATAAGGTATTTAGCGATTTTCTGTTTAAACGATATTTCAAGGAGCGTAGGCAGTTTACTAATTTTGATACTTTACTAATGATACTATCAATGTGGCTGTTCCATTTACAATTGGCTTGAAAAGTAAGTCCAAGATGTATATGTTCAGTTAGGCCTACTTCCTTTATTTTAATTGATTTCATTAATAGGGGTGGTTTCACAATTTTGCATTTAGTCAGTGTTAAAGTTTCTGTCTTGAGGAGGTTAAATGTCACTAGCCACTTTTCCGCCCATATATTGATTGTTTGGAGATCTTTGTTTAGGGTAACTGCGCATGCCTCTGGGTCATCTATTTTTAAGTACAGAGAAGTGTCATCTGCAAATAGTCTGATGTTTGATTGTATATCATTTACAATGTCTTTGATATATAATAAAAATAATAGTGGTCCCAATACACTGCCCTGTGGGACACCAGCGGGGATGCCCCTGGAGTCCGAGGAGGTTCCATGTATTACGACGCATTGGTGTTGATTATCTAAATAGTTCTTGAACCACAATAATAACCCTCCCCAAACTCCAGCAGCATCCAGCTTGTGACAGAGTACGGCATGCCAAACTCTGTCAAAAGCCTTGCTTATGTCACAAAAGACGATCCTGATATATTTCTTATGGTCAATGGCTTGACAAAAAAGTGATTTAGATTTATTAATTGGAAGACAGTAGAATCACCTGGTAGGAAACCACTTTGCAGTGTTGTTAGTATTGAATTGTCCTTGAAGAAGTTAAAGACGTGTTTATATATTATTTTCTCAAATATTTTTATAAAAATGCTAAGGAGAGAAATGGGTCTGTAATTGCTGTATTCATTTGGGTGCCCTTTTTTGAAAATAGCCATGACATTTGCGAATTATCTAAAACATAACATTCAACTGAGCGTAGAGTTGAGCTTATTAAAATCAGGTCTAGTAGGGAATTTTGTTTACCGATTTTGCTATAATGTTTTGATTTATTTATTAATTGAGTCAGGTCTAATAAGTTGCTAGCATCGTGAATGAAACTGGTTGTTTTGGTATTGAAGTCAATATTAAAATATCCTAAAATTATGCACTTATCAATAGGATCGGTAATAGCTTGTTGAAAAGAATTAAAAATCTGTTGATTGAGACTGGACAATGAAGAGGGGGGTCTGTAGTAGTTACTAAGTAGAAACTTGTTATTATTAGAGTTTTAACTCTAATAATAACAAGTTTCTACTTAGTAACTACTAAATGTAAATATTGAATCAATTTGGATAGAGATTAAAATCTCTATCCAAATTGATTCAATATTTACATTTTCTAAATCATGTCTACGTTTGAATGATATGGTGTTACGAATATATATAATCACCCCGCCACCACGATAATTTCTATCTTTCCTGACGGGCAAATAGTAGTTAGGTAAAGCTATAGACTCAGATGTAACGTTTTTGTCAAGCCATGTTTCGCTTAATGTTATTATATCAAAGCTAGTTAATTCTGGTGGTTATCAAATCGAGTTTATTTTTGAGGCCCCTTACATTCAAATACACTACTGAGTGTTGGTTATTGGTGTGTGTATTTGGGCCTGGATTATAGATCTGTATTTTAATCAGATTGTAGGTAACAGTACATGTACATGTATACAAAATGTTGATAAGAATATATTGATGAGCAAGGATTTTAATCAAAGTAGTAAAGTACTGGTACCCACAGGAATCGATTAGATTACTTAAAGACCACATAAGATGAAAAATCTAAATTGCATGTACGTATAGCCAATGGTTACTATATCCACTTTACGGCAAGTTCACACCAATCTGATTAAAATTAATTCGACTATTAATGCTTAAGTATTCGGCATGCCAAAACGCTTTTCAATTTTTCAATTACGACCTTAATCCGGTTGATTGGCTGGAGACGTCACAGGGACTACACATAATATATACATTATCTATACAATATATCACTGTCTGTACAATATAGCATTATCAATACACACCACCAGTTGACAAGTGTGTATTGATGGTCCAATTAACATGTGACTGGCCTAATCACAGAATTATCGTCTTGCATTGTTATAGATTAGACATTTGTGATTGGAATATTTTAGAGTGAATTTAAAATGCTCCAGCATGCCGTAGATTCATTTAAAGATACAATATGGGAGATTTTAATAGAGAGTTGGCCATTCTTGCTATAACAGTTCAAAAATAGATGATGAAAGAAGAATATATCGGAAAATTTCAGTCAAATTACTTTATTCTGAACAAAGTTATCACCATTGTAATTTTTAACTAAAAATAGGAGTCAACTCTCTCTTCACCGTCTCCGAGAATGGCCGATCGTTTGATTGACAGGCGTTAACTCCACCTACATAATCTCGATTATCAAGTAACGTTTTCAATGGCTGTGGTACCGTTAGCCTATTCGGTTTGAGACGAGGTTGCAATTCAATTCGTATCACATTTATTTTTACTACAAATTAAAAATAAGACTTTTAATATATAGATAAGAAGCGAAAGTTTGAAAGGAATGGACCAAATCAATGAGGCATAATTAAAGCCGACTTCTTGTTAGCCTATGTGTACTCTTGCACTGTAACTGGTAGGCCTACGTAACTCCCGAAGCAGACAAATATAGGAAACAGTGATCCAATGGGGCTGCAATCCAACTGGGGTGATGTTAGCTACGATGTTTATCAATTTCCATAATTTTTCTGTAAACGCAAGTGACAAAAGAGCGTATAATACCGACATCCAAACTCTCATTCTAACCACAACTATATCAAACTTTCAATCAAATTGACTGACATGCGGCCTCGCTCAACAGTGGCCTCGCTTCGTGCACTCGATCATTTAGCCTCGATCTAAAATTTCCGGGAGTATGACGTCAACGTAACGGTTAATCTCCGCTTACGACGCCATTTAAAAATTTAATCAATCAATGAAATCCTGTTTAAATCCAAGCTGAATCCAAGCCATCCATGGGTCTACACGAGTCATACCTCTATATAACTGACTGGTGTGATGAGTGATAACAGATACACGGCCAAATTTCTGCTCAATAATAATTCCTTCCAAGACCAGTCAATGTAACTGTAAAATACCTTTGTTATAAAGAAGTTAAACAATGTTAGACATTATAACCTTATCTTATCACAACCGTTTATCCATCGAAAAATATATATTCAGATTTCATATCAAGTCAATTAAATGTTGTTTAAACGCCAATTAACAAATAATACAAGGTTACTTTATTACAAAAACATTGGTGAACAAAGCTAATTGATTATTGGGTAAATAATAATTATAAACAACCGATGAGTAAAACTTGATTATTCTATACAATTAACGTGTGTACGATTCAACGATTAGTTGTGGTGTGGAGAAATCTTTGTAGAAAAGTTCCCCCTTTCGTTTTTTCGTTCGTTCGTGGGGTATTACGCACATGTTCAACCTAAATGTCTTTGATCTGGCCGGCGGAAAAAAGATAACAACCTGATCAGCATTCTTAATCCAACATCGAGGTGTAAATTAATTTAAAACCCCATGTCTGCGCAACTTTAGTCGGATTGATTAATGACAGATATTAACGACACTCCACTGGCCATATTATTAATACACAAAGATAGTTATATGACCCTTCTCAATCTTTTATTCGATTTAGATGGTTAACAACAAAATTTATTTGTATTGTTAATTCTAACGTATATTGAGTTATTTTTCTTATTTCATTTTTACGGTCTTTTTCAGAGTAATGAAGTCAAATCCACATGCAGAAAGAAAAGTGCTGTACGACGGCTACAGGAAAACGAGATACAGTTGGCTACTCTGATAACGGATCGTCATTTACAAATCGCGTTTCAATCATGTTTGACTTTTATAATACATTTTGCTGCAAAATTTTTGCATGACCACATCTTTTTACTCCTGTAGTCTTTTACTTAGGGAAATTAGAAACACAATACTCTTCTGGCGGAAATGTATCTCAAATCATTTGGACTGCATACGATGGTAATGGGACTCTTTTCAAAAAGTCACTTTAAAGCACAGTCATGAGAAGAGAGGGCGAAACATTATGAAACAGATGCCAGATTGGATCTTAAATTAAAATAAATTACAAAACAAATTATTCCATAGTTAATTGTTTTATTCAATTAGGGGATTAAGGAATCAGTCAGGCGTTAATGAATACAAACGCTGGCTGTATTAAGGTAATTAAGGAATAAACATTCTGAATATGCATTCGGTCACTGTGACGTCACTGACGTCTGTGGGGATTAAGAGTGTTTTCGATAATTGGCAAAGTCATTTTTACGGGAGGTATCTTTTTGCGACTTTGAGTGAAGATAGCCGAATTAATTTTAATCAGATTGGTGTAAACTTGCCGTAAAGTTGATATAGTAACCATTAGCTGTACGTACCGAAAAGTAATGTCGTCCATCTTATGTGCCCTTTAAATAATAGTCTTTGATATTGGATAAATAGTAAGAATATAAATTAGAAAATTCCTAAATAATAACTTTTAAAAACAACATTTATAGGCATATGAGTACAAACAGCCAATCTAGGAAATCATGCTATACAAGCAAACTTATACTTTTAATATGCATTTTTATGACTAACAAACAGTTAATCTAGGAAAGACTGCTATTTTTAAAGCAAACTTATACTTTTAACAGGCATTTTTGTGGAAACACCCACCCACTTTCGATTGTAAAAATTTGCCAAAATATATAACAGTTTCATCAAATGTTTTAAAGTGATTTTCATTTAGTGTGTTCAAAAATGTTTCAAGTAGGCCGACTCTATGTATCTCTACTTGTGGTGCCATCAAATTATAATTCTAACATGGGGTGCACATACTATTACCTTTGGAGCAGATTCCATAAATTGTTTACCATTAGAAATTTGTGTAAGAAATTTAAACTTATTATCTTGAAGTACATAAACACCCTGAAAAAAAAATCAGTAAATTTTATTGAAAAAAATTCAAATGACAATAAATTATGTACAAATTTGTTTTGTTGTACCAGTTTTTACTTTACCTCTGATGGATTTTGTCGACAAATGCCAGGGTTCAGAAGTTTTAGGTCCTGTTTAGTAGGAAATTTTCACAAACATCAATAACATTAAAGAATGCAGAACAAATCTCCTGTCCCTTTGAAGTACCAGTATACAGAAAGATCAAATATTGCAAACATGCATCCTATGCTAGTTATAACAGTTGATAGCACATTTTCAGACTCTGTCTCCATATTGTCATACAATCATTGAATTCTCCCTTTAGATTCAATATCATTAGCCCAGCTTTTAAAAAGATTTAAGTTATGTTAAATTTTGGAGTTAGAAAGGAAACAAAATACAATAGCCTAGTCTGCAGCCAAAACAAGTGACTAAAAGTCGAATGTGGAATGGAATGGCTAAATAAAGTCAAAGTGAGAAATTGACAATGAAAAGACAGTTACCTGATGATTTGTTCGTAAATTATCAACCTGCTTCTTATAAATAGCATTCCAAAATTCTTTACATATAAATTTCATGGTATCTAATTCATCCTTAAATCTTGCACTGTCTTTTGTGAACCTAAAATAAATAAAATATAAACAGAAATTGAAACCTCAAATAAATAATATATAAACAGGACTTGAAGAAATTTGATCAAAATAACAATCATCATGCAACAAGCTTATTTTTTCTTGTAGTTAAGGAGGTTCAAGAGTAGATACCTTACTTAGACATATTTATTTTTAATCATAAACCACCTTTTATTGTGTTCTTATATTATATCGGTACCTACCTTTCAATCAAACTTTGACCTACTCGAAATCCTGTGGATTCTAATTTAGCAATACTTGTGTCCTGAAGAAAAAAAGTTAAAAAAATATTAAGTGGTTTTTTTTGTCACATTCTTATGATGTACATGAGTACATGTATGTGAAAATTTCTCAAACTTTTAATTATCCTGTGTAGCCTACTTGGCGACAAGTCTCCAATATTCCTAGCTAACTATATATAGAGAGGAACCCATGTATAATAACCATGACTACTTGCCCTAGATATAGTGGCAAGTGATCACTGCAGTGTTTAAATCACTCATGTAACAATGAAATTCGATTAAATATTGGTACCTAAATCACTCATGGAACAATGAAATTCGATTAAATATTGGTACCTAAATCCTGTTCTGCATATCTAGCCAGAAACCCTTGTAAACAGCTCAACATTTTGAACCTTTCATGATTAACATATTTAAACCGCTTTTCAATGGTATAATCATGCTAATCTACAAGCGTAGTAGCCCAGACAGACAAACAAGCAAGAAAATTGTTTAGGGGCGTAAATACCGGTAAGATTGATAGGGGGATAGGGCATATCGTTTTTGTAAAGTAACTATGTTTTTTGGTACTGACACTGGACTGGTCATTATATATATTATATGTTTGGGGTGAAGTATCAAGAAATGGAATGCTTATCAGTGTTGCTTAAATTTGTAATTTGGACTAAAACACATCTGGACAAGAAAGAAATTAAGAAAAGAAGTTTTTTGCTTTTTGTTGACTTTTTATGGCATGTAAGAGGTCAATCTGTTTCACAGAGGATTACGAAAGTCTTCTAATATCTCTGTAAAAGATGACTGCCTTCGTACAGAATGGTGCCTTTTACTCATTTTAATACCCATTCACACTAAATAATAGGAAATAATTTTCACCTACAAATACTTCAAATGTCTTTAAATTTATTTTTGTAATAAATAAAACAAAAATGTTTTAGATTTAATTTGTCGAAGGAAAGAAGTTAATATTTGGGTCTTATTATTAAGTCGCACAATACTAGATCTTTGTAAGATCTGAGGAATATCTTTCTCTAGGGTTAGGGTTCGGGTTAGGTTTATAAATTACATGTCAAACGTACAAATAAATTGAAGCTTTAACAAGTAACAACGGTGGATTGTGGTTAAAACTATTCTGAAGGGTTAGGGTTAGAATTGTGGGTATAAACATGTAAAGATATTTTCCAGATAAGTCGCCTGTGATTATAGCGGCCTAGCCAATATTTACTGATGATCAGTGTGGTGAGAGGTTGGTGAAATTGAACAAAAAAACTTCAATATAATAAATATAATATTATTATTATTATTATAATCAATTAAATCATGAAATGATGATGATGAAAGTGCTTCGGCCTATAGGACTAACTTAGATCCTTCTGGTGCCCTGTCCCTTCAATTCACCAATTCACGATATAAGGTATTTTTGTCCCCCGCCTTTCGAAGAAAGCAGGGGACTATTAAAATGGGTTCGTCCGTCTGTCTGTCCGTCTGTCTGTCCGTCCGTCTGTCTGTCCGTCTGTCTGTCCGTCTGTCTGTCCGTCACACTTTTTGGGACACAATAACTCTCTTCCTAATTGAGCTAGAATGTTCAAACTTGGTGTATGTGTTTATTAGGTCAATGCCTTGATGGAGTTCGAAGATGAGCATTTTCCGCTTAGGGTAAGCAGAGATAAGCAATTTGATTGGTTGATGCTTTGGGACACGATAACTCTCTTCCTAATTGGGCTAGAATGTTCAAACTTGGTGTATGTGTTGATTAGGTCAATGCCTTGATGGAGTTCGAAGATGAGCATTTTCCGCTTAGGGTAAGCAGAGATAAGCAATTTGATTGGTTGATGCTTTGGGACACGATAACTTTTAATTGAGCTAGAATGTTCAAACTTGGTGTATGTGTTTATTAGGTCAATGCCTTGATGGAGTTCGAAGATGAGCATTTTCCGCTTAGGGTAAGCAGAGATAAGCAATTTGATTGGTTGATACTTTGGGGCACGATAACTCTCTTCCTAATTGAGCTAGAATGTTCAAACTTGGTGTATGTGTTGATTAGGTCAATGCCTTGATGGAGTTCGAAGATGAGCATTTTCCGCTTAGGGTAAGCAGAGATAAGCAATTTGATTGGTTGATGCTTTGGGACACGATAACTTTAGTTCTAATTAAGTGAGATTGATGAAACTTGGTGTATAGTTTCATTACAGTAATACCTTGACTAAGTTTGATAATGAGCATTTTCTGCTCAGGGTAAGCAGAGCGATACGCAATTTGATTGGTCGAGACTTTGGAAAACAATAACTCTCCTACTTTGATTGTTAGACTATAAGTAAAGATATACTGTTTGATTGTTCAATACTTTGTTTGTAAAAGATAATTTGTGATAAATTTATATGTGTCCTCTAATTATTTTCCTATTTCGGCGGGGGACATCAGCCTCACTGTTGGCTTGTATTTGGACATTCGTACCTTTGCATTGTCTTCTTTAACGCAGGAATGGTGAATATAGGAAACAAGTTCCATGTGAAGAAAATCAAACAAAACTTCGTCTGCCATTTTGAAGTGGTGGCATAAAATTTGAAAATAAAATCCAAATATATTGAAAAAAAGAAATAAATAAGACTATACGGGTCAATGAATATAAGACAAATTTCATATTTCGGTTACTTCTATTCAGCTATAGAATGGCTGTGAAATTGGTATATAGAGCATTATTTTCCGTTTAATAAAGTAAATTCTTTTTGTCTTATAGCCGGTCCGTTCAATCTCTACGCTCAAATTTTGATTAACCGTACAAGATGTCGACGGAAGAAATGCGTGGAGCTCTTGCTTTGCAACAAGAAATTGAAAAGGCAAAGTTTAGATTAAAAGATGTGAACGAAAACATTAAGAAAATCACAGGCAGAGATCCTGAAGAACAAAGGTATCAATATTAAAAGCACAATATAGATTGTTTCAACGTTTAATTTCGGAAATGTGAGGAAAATCGTCAATATTTTTAGTTTTACACAGGGGGGGATAACTCTGAATTTTGCGAAAGGAGGCACACCACCATTAGGACACAGATCACTAAAGATTTCCCCATTGACTCCAATGTTAATTCTCGTATCTTAGACCGGCTCTAACTTTTTCCCAAATTTTCGTTGGGTAGAACGCTTTCTACCACAGATGGAGCAACATGTGGCAACCACTTGCCCAAAAGCACGTATGAGGTTCTTCATGAAAAACTTGAGATACACAAGCTGGAAGTAGAGACAAGTAAACATGCAATTTCAGGCCCTACATTTCAACGTAACCAACCTCTCAACTCTTGTATCCTTCCGCATCAAAATTATGAATATTCACCAAAACCTGGCAGAAAATGTATTTTCAAACCCTTTTCCTCAATTCTACACCAAAAAGTCAACAAAAATCGCCATGCAAAAGGGGGAAAAAGGAAAAGGGAGAGGAAGACTAAAAATAGCTTTAGCCCTTGTTTCGTGGGTGACGGCGTAGGAATATTTGGTGATCTGTGTCCTATATAGGGGTGAAACTTCAGGGATCACCAAAAGGCCTTTTTTATTTCCTTCCCATGTGTTCTGGCAACATGCCGGTGAAAGAAAATCAAAATCAAAGAATAACTGTAAAAATGATGGCCCTTTAAGTACACATGCTGCTTTATGTACACTGGTGCATCTCAGGTCCATAGGCCTTTTGTGCTAAAATTTAAAAATCTTTCTTATTAAAGGCAGTATCTGAGTTCTGTGAAAAAATTAGACAAGTAACAAAGAAACTACATACAAAACACTCATAATTTGGAATTTTTTTCAAAAATATAATTTTTTACTGCCATGTGATGAAAAATGTACAAAATTTACATGTAGCATCTCTCAAAATACCAATAATTTTCCACTTTTTTAAATATCCGGACGGACAAGAAATATATTTTTAGAATCTGTGGACAATATGCAAACAGAAAAAATGCAAACCAGTTGCAATGGTTGTAATATTAGAGATCTATACTGAAACATGTATGCCTACCCCCTGAACATGCCACTGATTGAATTAATCTAATCTATGGTTGCAGAACTTACATTACCAAAGGAATCTGTCTAACAGCTATGTTTTACCATCCCTGGCTAACATATGCACATATAAACTAAAATAGGTGCAATAAATATGAATTATGGTTAAAAATAGGCCTTGATGAATGAAAAAAATGCCATATTTGGTCTATGATCACCCCTCTCTAACAGAAGGGTCACAGAATACACAATTTTCACAAATTTGGAAATATTTCAATGTTTCCAACATCTCAAACCTCAGAGGCATGTTACAAATTTGTATTGCAATCCTTGTGCTGAAGCAAGATGTCTGGAACTTTACATTAATTTCCTGAAAAAATGAAGTCAAAAAAGTAGTCATGACAGACTTGACAACATAAAAAGAGGCCTGAAAAGGAGAAAAATTAACATTTTATTGTTTTATAGGCAACATAAATGCTGCAAACACCACAAATGCTGGATTTTGACAAGAAAATATTGAACATTAAACTGACATTTACACATCTACACCAGTTTTATATCTGGGTCTGGTCTCATTGGCCTGAAGTGCCTCAGGGTTCTACGTTTGACTCTGAACAAATAAGGGTTAGAAATCCTTGAAATGCACACAAAAAATATTTTTGGGTGAAAAATAACATTCTTAGCTGTAATTCAACCACAAATTCCAATTAAGATCATTTACATGTCAACACAGGTGCATTTAAATCCCTCAAAACACATTAATAGAAAAGGGTGGGGTGGGGCATTTATTGCCTCTCTAAACAGAATGATGGAGTAAAAAATGTCTAGAAAGGCTGGGATATTGCTTCCTACATGAAGGAAATGCAAGAATTTAATGTTTCAAAGAAGAAAAAAATGCTTATTCTGGGTAAAATAGTGGCAAAATTGAGCCAACCCCTGTTTTGAACATTTTGTACAAACCCATCTGCTGTACATTATTAACTCAGTGTTACCAATTTTCAATTTTCTGTAGGAAAGCTGGAGCTATTTCTAAACCTGACAAACATGTAGATCCCATCTAAGTTATATTAGCAAAGAAAATATGGGCATTTTTAGACATTTTGACTCATTTTAGTAGTCATGAAAATATTAATTTCTACATCCAAATGGGGGGAATCTCAAGATTTTTTGTGAATATTCCTGATTTTTAGACAAAATTTGGTGAAATTTCAATACTGTTCATTTTATCTGTGCTTTCTGAGACTGAATAAGCCAACATTGGGCATTAGAATATTTTACTTACTGTTAAAAATTCAATAAAAATTGAAAATTGAGAAATTTGCAGTAAAATCACAATTTTTCTTTAAAACTTTGATTTTTTTTTTTTTTAATTAACTTTTTTTAGTTTTTCTGTAGCCAAACTATTTTATTCATATTTTCTGAGAATTTAATCTTCATATTTTCAAAACTAAGGCATATCAGTGACAGCCTTATCACACACAGACAGGACACAGATCACTAAAGATTTCCCCATTGACTCCAATGTTAATTCTCGTATCTTAGACCGGCTCTAACTTTTTCCCAAATTTTCGTTGGGTAGAACGCTTTCTACCACAGATGGAGCAACATGTGGCAACCACTTGCCCAAAAGCACGTATGAGGTTCTTCATGAAAAACTTGAGATACACAAGCTGGAAGTAGAGACAAGTAAACATGCAATTTCAGGCCCTACATTTCAACGTAACCAACCTCTCAACTCTTGTATCCTTCCGCATCAAAATTATGAATATTCACCAAAACCTGGCAGAAAATGTATTTTCAAACCCTTTTCCTCAATTCTACACCAAAAAGTCAACAAAAATCGCCATGCAAAAGGGGGAAAAAGGAAAAGGGAGAGGAAGACTATAAATAGCTTTAGCCCTTGTTTCGTGGGTGACGGCGTAGGAATATTTGGTGATCTGTGTCCATTAATTTCCCCATTGACTTCAATGTTAATTCTGGCCTCTTAGCCGTCCTCCAACTTTTCACTAAATTTTCATTGGGCTGAATGCTTTTCACTACAGACAGAGAAACAAATGGTCATGTCTTTGCACTAAAATTTGGGTACTATTTCAGTAACGTACCTCTACCAGTTCCCATGATCGTAGAGACTTGGAATTTTCAGGGGGTATTCATGGGGCTTAGCCATGACCTCACACCAAATTTCAGCGGAATCTGTCAATAACTTTTTATTTTACTGTAGTTTAGCTTATACGAGAGAAATTTTATCCGATTTTGACGCCATTTTGTTTGTTGGCTATTTAGACTTGAATAACAAGACAGGGTTAGGGTTAGACTATGACGAAATCTACAGGTCCTAGCCCTTACCCTAACCCTTATCCTAACCCACAATCCACATATGACGTCATTCGAGCCTAAATAGTCAACAAACAAAATGGCGTCAAAATCGGATAAACTTATCTCTTATAGAAGCTAAACTACGGTAAAATAAAAAGTTATTGACCGATTCGGCTGAAATTTGGTGTGAGGTCATGGCTAGTCCCCGTGAACACCCCCTACAAATTTCAAGTCTCTACGATCATAGGAACTGGTAGAGGTACGTTACTGAAATAGTACCAAAATTTGTATGACGTTGACCACCAAAATTTTGAGATACACAAACTTGAAGAAGCATAATATGTAACAGGCATTGCCTGAGTAGAGCGAAGCTGATATTGTCAAATATAAAACCTTTATAATTAAGTTTCTCAAGTGATACAAAAAATGTTAAATAATTTAGTTTTTCAGACAGTTTTTCATACAGTTTTCTATACATTAAAAGAGTGAGAATTATTTTCATTGACGTAAAAAATATGTGACGTCATTGATTAGACGCGTCATAGAAATAGTTCTATGAGGCGCGTAATCTCGCTTGGGCGAGATTTGGTGGGTAGAATTATTTTAATTGTTAGTTACGTGATCTCGCTTGGACGAGATTTGGTAAGTTGACATGCGCATTGCCTGTTTTGCCCAGTGTATCCGGTTCCGGTCTGAATTTTTTTTTAATCAACAGTCTGTGGGTGACATTTTCAATTACGCTCCTGTGTTACCGGAAAAGCGTGGTGCTTTAGAGCTTCGCTCTATACTAAAAACATGTAAAGTAGTTGCCGTACATATCACCGTAGCCAACCTGATAACCCTGTTAAATCATGAATATTTACCAAAATCCGGCAGAAAATGTTAATTCAAACTCTCTTCATCCATTCTAGACCAAAAAATCAACAAAAATGGGCATGCAAAAGGGGAGAAAAGAGACAGAGAGAGAATTGCTATTAATAGATGAACTACAATTTGTGGGTACCGAGATAGTGAGATTTAATGGTGGTCTGCCTCCTATATGGCTTTAGAAGTTCATATATCATCAAAATTCTTTTCTTTATAGCTTCACATTTATTTTTGCAACATTATTATAATACAGAATCACAAAAAAATAATTACTGCAGAAATGGTGACCCTTTAAAGTTATGTACTGTTTTGTATACCAGATTGCAGCTCATGTCCATGGGCCTTTTGTTCTAGAATTGAAGATTCTTTCTTAATTTTGTCAAAATGTGAGTTCTGCGAAAATATTTAAAGATTTTCAAACAAGTCACAGCCAAGAAATGTCATTGATTTAGCATTCAAGTCAAAAGGGAGAGAATTACTAGTTTGACTCTATAATCACTATGATAACAATAAAAGTTGTCCTTCTTGCATTTATTTATTTTTTTTCAGAACTATTAAAAACAGTAAATTTTATGGAATATTCATCAGCTATAACTTATAGAAAAAAAACATAAAAATGTGTTGTTTTAAAGCAAGAATTTCAAATTTTCTAAGAAGGTCAAAACATAATTATTTCTATGTCTTTTGCTCAATAGGTTATCAAATCACTATTATACGATCATGGGCATTATTTCCCATCCTTAAAAATCTATGACACAGGAAATAACAACACAATTACCTCCCCTGTTTTGCTATTGACAACATGGTTCAGCCATTTTCATCAGCTATAACTTATAGAAAAAAACCATAAAAATGTGTTGTTTTAAACATACATTATGCAAGAGCTAAATATGCCTATTGCAAGTCTTTATTTAGGCTTCAGATGTTACAGAAATTATTAATTAGACCTTTATTTACATGACAAGCTCAAAATCAACTCTGTAGACCCACGGATGGTTTGGTTTTAAATAGTCGTCCATTTAAAATTAAATTAATAAATGGCGGATCAAGCTAACGTTTACTGTTAGACGCTGATGTCACTACTGGAAACTGGTGATGAAAGGCCTGCCAAGCGTGGCTACCATAGCCATTGAGCATGTTACTTGAAAATCTAGAATATGTGGGTGGAGTTATCGCCTATCAATCAAACGATTCCCAATTCTCATAGACAGTGCAGACACAATTGATGCCTATTTCTTATTCCAAACTTCCAACAGTGGCAATTCCGTTCAGAACAAAGTAATTTTACTGAAATTTTCAACATTTTCTTTTTTTATCATCTATTTTCATACGCCCACATTTTCATGTGGACGTATATTGTCGTCCCCCTTGTCCGTCCATTCGTCCACAATTGTTTGTGGACACTCTACAGGTTACAATTCTTATCCGATTTTGACGAAACTTGAAATGTGGGTTTATCTCCAAAAGATCTTGGTTGCTTTCGATATTGGCATGTATCGGACCAAAACTTCATGGATTATGGCCCACTGATTGTACGATAAATCATGTTTTTAGCTTGTGGACCCTATAGAGGTCACAATTATTTTCTGATTTTGTGGAAACTTGAAATGTAAGTTTATAACCCAAAGATCTCGATTCCTTTTGATATTCGCGCATATCGGATTGTAACTACCTGAATTATGGCCCCTGATTGAACGGAAAATCAAGTTTTTAGCTTGTGGACCCTATAGAGGTCATAATTTTTATCTGATTTTAAAAAAACGTTTTAGTATACCCAAAGAATGGTTGACATCGAATTTCGTGACAATCGGCCCAAAACTGACAAACAAAATGGCTGTCCCTCATTCTCAAATAGCGTTGTGGACCATCTAGAGGTCACATTTTTCTTCTGATTTTGATGAAACTTGAAATGTAAGATTATAACCCAAAGATCTTGGTTCCTTTCAATATTCACACATATCAGACTGTAACTTCCTGAATTATGCCCCCCGATTTTACGAAATATCATGTTTTTAGCTTGTGGACCCTATAGCGGTCACAATTTTAATGCGATTTAAAAAAACGTTTAAATATATCACCGTTACACCCTAAGGATGGTTGAGTTCGAATCGGACCAAAACTGACAGACAAAATGTCCGCCACTCGTTCGCAAATAGTGTCAAAATATTGTGTATCAGAGTTGTGGACCCTCTGAAGGTCACAATTTTCATCCGATTTTGGTGAAACTTGAAATGTAAGTTTATAACCCAAACTTGAAAATGCATGTTTATTATCCAAATATCTTGGTTTCATTCTATTTTCGTGCATATCGAATTGTAACTTCCTGAATTATGGCCCCTGATTGTATGGAAAATCACGTTTTTAGCTTGTGGTGCCTCTAGAGGCCACAATTATTATCTGATTTAAAAAAACGTTAGAATATATCACCGTTAACCATAATTTTGTGTGAGTTTGAATTTCATGAAAATCAGACCAAAACTGCCAGACAAAAAATGGCCGCCCCTCGTACGCAAATAGTGTAGACATCTGGTATATCAAAGTCGTGGACCCTCTAGAGGCCACAGTTTTGATCCGATTTTGATGAAATGCAAAATCTCGATTCGTTACTTCCTGAATTATGGCCCTTGATTGAACAAAAAATCACTTTGTTAGCTTGTGGTCCCTGTAGAGGTGTGAATATATCACCATTACACAACACTAAGATCTTGGTTCCTTTTGATAATCGTGGATACCCAAACTTAATTTCCTGGATTATGGCCCCTGATTGTTCGAAAAATCGCATTTTTAGCTCGCAGACTCCTAAGAGGTCACAATTTTTTTTCTGATTTTAAAAAGCGTTTAAATACATCACCATTCCACTATACTGAAGTTTTGAAATCGTATTTCGGGGAAAACCAAAATAAAACTGCCTGACAAAATGGCCGCTATTTGTACGCAAATTGTGTAGAAGTGTGCAATTTTTTTCCGATTTTAAAAAGTGTTTAAAGCGATAATTTCATATTTTCTAAGAAAGTCAAAACATAATTATTTCTATGTCTTTTGCTGAATAGGTTGTCAACTCACTATTATACGATTACAGGTATTAATCTCACACTTAAAAATCCTTTGACCCCGGAAATAACACAATTACCTCCCTTGTTTTTCTATCCCCCCTCCCCATGGAATAGCTATCTTCAAACGTTTGAATTTGAAGTTCAAAATGATATTTTTGCCAATTTCTCAACTGGCAATAGTGAATTATAGGATTAATAGGATTATTCTTTAACAAGGTAGGACTGTTTATAGATACCATCTATTTTAAGGCTTTATTTTAATAAATTTTAAAAATATAACTTAAAAATATGAAATTGCAACTTTAAATACATCACCATTCCACTATACTGAAGGTTGAAATCATATTTCGGGAAAATCGAAATGAAACTGCCCAACAAAATGGACGCTCTTTGTACGCAAATTGTGTAGAAGTGTGTAATATGAAGGTTGTGGACCCTCTAGAGGTCACAATTTTTATCCAATTTTGATGAAACTTAAAACATCTTTATATCCCAAAGATCTCTGTCCCTTTTGATATTTGCACATTTCAGGCCATAACTTTCTGGATTATTGGCCCCGATTGTACAAAAAGTCACGTTTGTTTTTAACTTGTTCTCTGTCCATCTCTTGCAAAATGTGGGTGTATCCTGCCTGGCAGCCGCTAGTTTTAAAAATAGAATCCTTAAATTTGTTTGACCACATTTTAGGATAATTCTATTTCCAGTCGTTTTTTGGTTTTAAAGGATCGGCAATGTATTTTACAATGTTTTATTCTAGTTTATAATATATTTCCAATCTTGTTTTTATAGGGATCGACAGTTTAGAGCGGGTAATGATGTTAGAGGTAGAGAAAGAATTTTTAACATGGCAAGGTGAGTAATCTTATTATTAATGCTGATTCGATTTACTAAGGACATTGGTATACAAAAGCTGTGTTTGCAAATCTTAATTGCGACAAGTTCTATTTCATCAAAAATGAAATCTTTGATACCTATCTAACATAAACTCAGAAAGCATACCAGTACATAGAGAATCTCCTATAAGTCTTTTATTTGATATCCACAATAACGAGGGGGTCACGGTGTCTATGTGGGTAAGATGCTGGCTCGCTAGCCTGGAGGTCAGGTCCCTGCATTGGCCGAGAAAGTTCATCCAGATTTTCCGGCATGGTTCCTCCTTGTTAGTGATGCAGGACGGAGGGCCTGACAAGGACAGCTGTGTAGTTGTTCGGATGGGACGAAAAACCGAGGTCCCGTGTACATATTGGTGTGCACGTAAAAGATCCCTTGACAGTTGGAATTTGATGTAAGAGCCTATTTAATTTCAATAATTTCCATATAAGTTATGGCCCTTGTTTCACTTTGTTGAACCTTTTTAACGCACTAACACCAACATTTAACATCAGATCTTTGTATAATTTATATGCATTATTTAAATTAGTGAAATCGAAGAAGCCTATTGAATTTCAGCAATTTCCGTTTATTACGTCTAGAAGTGTGGCCCTTGTTTCACTTTATTGAACCTTGTGAACGCTCTAACGCCAACAGTTATCATCCGATCTTTGTGAAATTTATATGCATTATTTAGATTAGTGAATTTCCGTTAATTACTTCTAGAGTTATGAGAAGTTATGTCCCTAGTTTCTCTTTGTTGCACCTTGTGAATGCTATAACACAAAAAGTTATCATCCAATCTTTGTGAAATTTATAGGCATTATTTAAGTTAGTGAAACAAAGACGCCTATTGAATTTCAGCAATTTCCATTAAATACGTCTTGAGTTATAGCCCTTGTTTCACTTTGTTGTCCCCCGCCTTTGGTACACGATAATTTTAGTTCTAATTAAGTGAGAGTGATGAAACTTGGTGTATAGTTTCATTACATCAATACCTTGACTAAGTTTGATAATGAGCATTTTCTGCCTTGACAGAGTTCAAAGATGAAAATTTTCTGCTTAGGGTAAGCAGAGATAAGCTATTTGAATGGTTGATGCTTTCGAACACGATAACTGCTTAGGGTAAGCAGAGATAAGCTATTTGATTTGTCGATGCTTTGGGACAAGATAACTGTAGTTCAGGGCTCAAACTAGGGACATCTCCCTACAGACAGAATAGGGAGAAGTGAGGGAGACTTGAAGGAGAGGTCATATTTCATGCATTGCTGCAACCAATCTTACCAAGTCGTTACACAGTCAATATGCTAAATAAATAAACAAACATTGTTTAGCTGCACACATATATTTATTTCAGTATGTCATCATACTCTTTATACTGGTATCAAAATTACTGTGATAATAAATTACATATACTAGTAGGCCTACTAAGAAAGACTTGACTTTAGCAATACAAATAAGATTTGTGATATCCCTCTATCAAATACATCAATATTTATACCTTTTCGTGCCTAAATACATTTAATTACTAGTCCTGCCTGGGTCTATTGTGTGATTGTTTTAGCACCTTTCACAATAGGATAGTCATATTGTTACGTAGTACGACAATGTCAATGTATGAAATTATTGTTTTGACACACCACTCACTTACCTTCTTTGTTTTACGTTTATGTGTTTAGATTAGTGGAACTAATAATATTGATGTAGATTTAATTATCAACCCGACGTTATACCTATCAACACATTCTAAATACATGTTGTAATCATTCTGATAACAATTGTTTTAATATCTCCATCCGTCGAAATGTACGCCAACGCTATTTTCACTCGTCACACGTGTTGTTCTTTATTGACTGTACCATGTTGACACAACAATGTACACCTTTCGTCACCTTTCAATCACAAGTTTTGTGTTTATTATTCTTTTTATTATTAAATTATTTCAAAGAAAGAGGACCAATTCAGTACTTTGTCTATTCTTAGACAGAAATACATGAAAAATATCGTATCCGCCGCCATATTGGCCATCGCAGCTTTTGATTGGCTGTTATTTCTGGACGAAGCCAGCGGTTGTAACAGAGATTTATGATTCGATTCCTTCGCTTTATTTTAAAGAATTGTATTTCCTGTTGACATCAAATACAATGTTTATCATTGAAACTATTAAACATTGTCACAGCCAACACAGAGAAAGTCGAAAAACAAAATATTAATACATGTTTTGCTTTTCACAACTTGTTTAATTTTCAGTTTTCCTTTCGAAGCTCACAATGCGAACACGCGTTGTGTTGTTTTGAAAATGCTTTGTTTACCGTTGATATCGATGCCTGTTACCTACTTCGCCCTTGCACAAATGTACGGCGAAGTGAGGGCGACTTCAACTTCGCCCTATTGCCTTTTAGGGCGAAGTCATCAATGGGTTAGGCGACTATTTCGCCCACGTCGCCCGCTAATTCGAGCCCTGCTGTAGTTCTAATTAAGTGAGAGTGAGGACACTTGGTGTATAGTTTTATCACATCAGTACCTTGACTAAGTTCGATAAAGAGCATTTTCTGCTCAGGGTAAGCAGAGCAATAAGCAATTTGATTGGTCGAGACTTTGGAAACAATAACTCTCCTTCTAATTAAGGTAGAATGTTCAAACCTGGTGTAGGCGTTCATTAGGTGAATGCCTTGATGGAGTTCAATGATGAACATTGTCTGCTTACGGTAAGCAGAGATAAGCAATCTGATTGGTTGATGCTTTGGTCCACTGTGGTCCACAATAACTTTGGTTTTAATGAAGTGAGAGTGATGAAACTCTGAGTATAGAATTATAGATTCATTCTATCATTACCTTGACTAAGCTCAATGATGAGAATTTTCTACTTAGGCTAAGGAACGATAAGCAATTGGATTGGTCAAAACTTTGGAACATAACAACTCTGCTTTTAATTGAGGTAGAATGTTTAAAATTGATTTAGAAGTTCATTAGGTGAATGTCTTGACTGAGCAATTTCATTGGGACAAGATAACTTTGATTCTATCTGATAGAGAGTGATGAAATCAGTTTGATTGCTTGATACTTTTGAAAAAATAAATGTGCTATTAATTAATATGTGTCATCTATTTATATTGGGATTTCAACTGTTGGCTTGTTGAACCTTGTGAATGCTCTAATGCCGAAAGTTGTCATCCAATCTATATGAAATTTATATGCATCATTTACATTAGTGAAACCACAAAGCCTATTGAATTTCAGCAATTTACAATATGGCCCTTGTTTTACTTTTTAAACCTTGTGAACGTTCGAATGACAAATGTTATCATCCGATCTGTTTGAAATTTATATGCATTATTTAAATTAGTAAAACAAAAAAAAACCTGTCATTTATTAAGATTTTATATAAATTACTTCCAGAGTTAAGGCCCTTGTTTCAGTTTGTAGAACCTTGTGAACTCTCAAACGACAAAAATTATAATCTGATCTGTATGCAATTGTCTTGTAAATGCCCCCAATTACCTACAAAAGGATAAATATGCAACCTGTCTTTAAGAATGTGAGGTGAGGCCTTTGATCTAGTGGTTCAGCACATTACTACAACTAATAGTATTAACAACAAATCATAAAGAGACACTATTACTTTTGGGGTAAAATTGTTTTTCATTTGATTTATTTATGGTACAATAATTATGGTTGGATTTGATGTGAAAAATAAGTTTTTTAAATATTTAATTAACATGTTGTGGTTTATAGGAGAACTATGGGAGGATCGGATGGGCCCCCAGTTAAGAGAAGAAATATTGTAGGTGGAGCATTCTCCAGGTAAGTGGAAGTACCTTTTATCTTCATTTCTTTTTTGTCGTCGGCCCTGTCCGTCCATCCATTCTATGTATAGTTTAAATTAGTAAAACGTACAAGCCTATTGAGTTTCAGCAAATTTCCGTTAATTACACCTAGAGTTATGGCCCTTTTTTCACTTTGTTGAATCTTGTGAACGCTTGAACGACAAAAGTTATCACCCAATCTGTAAGGCTGTGCAAAAATATCGATATAATCGATAATCGGTAGAAGTTATTTAGCAGTACGATAATCGATATTGAAATTCAAATATCGATTATCGGTATATTTACCTTCTGACGGCAAGTTACGGTCACTTTCACATGACTGAACTTGCTGTAGTCGCGCATGTAGACGAATGAACGAATACACAACGTCAACACAACAACTATTTTCCCCCTCTGCTTACAAACTGGCACATTTTAAATATATATTATTGTAAAAAAACTAAACTTTAAGATTAAATACATTATTTTAATATTTTCGTTGTTTTTGTTGTTATTACTAGTTGAAACTAAAATAGGTCACGCACTTTGTGAATAATGACGATCGCACGTGATGATATAGTAAAATTAGAATTATCTCCCTTCTTTGCTCTTGATTGATTTGTAGAGAAATTGTCTGCTTTCACGATAAAACTAATTGTATTATTAATGATCAACTCAGCTTTTATTACTAAATCATGTATGATACAGCCCATACAAAACACGTTTTTGACTTCCCGGGAAAATATCTATATCTCTCGTAATTTCTTGGAAGAATTCTACTTTGGTTTTCGTCAAAATTAACCAATCATAAAAATTCTACTTTGAAAGCCGGTAATTATTTTTTTTATTGTCCAATCAATAGACGCCTTCTATTAAATTTTATTCTATTATTAGTAACACTGTGTGATCGCCAGTAACTTGCAAAGAGAAACCATGTATTGTCTTTGTATTTATCGGAGATATTGGAATAAAAAAAAAGGTTCAAGTGAATCAAGAACAAAACTTAGAATAATACTCAAGTTAATCCTACATTTAGCAACTAATTATTTTACATTAATTGATTTTTTTACGTACATCGGCACAGTATTAGACTAGGATAATAACACTACTGTAACTCGATCAACACAAATAACAGGTCGGTAAAGTTCGGTTTTTCCTGAAGAATGATTGATAATCGATTATTATCGATAATCGCTGACAAATTCTTACCGATAATCGATATTGAAATTTCATATCGATTCCCAGCCTTACCAATCTGTATGAAATTCATATGCATCATTTAAATTAGTGAAATTAAAAACCCTATTGAATGTCAGCAATTTCCGTCAATTACTTCTAGAGTTATGGCCCTTGTTTTACTTTGGTGAACGTTGAACGACAAAAGTTATCATCCGATCTGTATGAAATTTATATGCATTATTTGAATTAGTAAAACGAAAAAGCCCGTCAAATTTCAACAATTTCTGTAGATTACTTCCAGAGTTATGGCCCTTGTTTTAGTTTTTAGAACCTTGTGAACCCTCAAACGACTAAATTTATAATGTCATCTGTATGAAATTTCTTTTAAATGCCCCTAATTACCTACAAAAGAATAAATATACGACAACTCTTGTCAACTGCTCGGACAATTAAGTTGCTGTGGGCGTATGTTTTGTTGCCTGGCAACCTATCTTTTAGCTTGTTCTCTATTCATCTCTTGCAAAATGTTAGCATATCTTGCTTGGCAACCACTTGTTTTTGTATGCCCACATTTTCATGTTGATGTATATTATTGTCGCCGCCCCTGTTTGTCTGGATGTGTCTGTCCATTCACATTTGTTTATGGTCACAATTTTTATCGGATTTTGTCGAAACTTGAAATATAGGTCTGTCTCCCGAAGATTTCAGTTCCTTTTGATATTGGCATGTATCAGACCACAACTTCATGGGTAATGGCCCCTGATTGTGGACACTCTAGAGGTCACAGTTTTCATCTGATTTTGATGAAACTTGAAATGCATGCTTATAACCCAAAGATCTTGGTTCATTTTGAAATTCGCGCATTTCGGATCGTTATTTCCTGAGTTATGGTCCCAAATTGTACGAAAAATCACGTTCTTAGCTTGTGGTCCTTCTAGAGGTCACAATTATTAGCTTAGTCCCTTTCCATATTTGCGCACATCAAACCATAACTTTCTGGATTATGGCCCCTTTGTTTTTAGCTTGTTTTCTATCCATCTCTTGCAAAATGTGGGCGTATCTTGCCTGGCAACCGCTGGGTTTAAAATAAAAAGTAGTTTTAATTACAACTCATGCAAATTTATATTTGGAAAAATAGTTCTTTCGATTTCCAAAAAGATGTGGGTTTGTCCAATTGTATTTGATTAGTAGGAATATTGTTTTGTTTCTTCAATTAAAGATTACACTATCATCAGTTGGTAGCTATAACTCATTTCTTTTACCGAACATGCTACTTTTAGCAGTTGTTCACCATATCGAAATGTAGGTGATAGTAGGGGTGATGATTTTCCGTGATCGCGGAAAAAACGCGGAAATCGCGGAATTGTCCACTCAAAACGGAATTTGAAATCTCACACGGAAAAAGACGGAAAAGCCGATATTTGCTGATACTAAACACAAACTCAAAATAATTTTGCAGTTATCCAAGTATTTCATCTTTTTATTCATAAAAATCGGAAATATTGAATGATATCGCGTGGTTTTGTTACTGTCTATTTTAGTATTTCGCTACTTTCATTTCATCATTTAGGAATCATAATTTTAATCGAAACGAAAACCCGACTTTCATGTATCCCATTATAAAATTACTCTGTAGTTTAACTTGAATTAAACATTGTAATGTATATATATGTCTTTAAAAAAACTTCTGTCACTTCATAAAAGTAAAAATCGTTTCATTTACTTCTTATTTTACTGCCGGGCTCGTGACTCGTGTTTATCCGCATAAACCACGTGACATCAGAAATATACCGTAGCCTTGTGAATCCAGCCCTTATTCTCGAAGAAACGGTAGTAACTACGAAGATGTCTGGATAAATCGCGACTACACCTAGCAGCTGAGAAAAATGGCTTCGTCTGCTAAAAAGATGAAACGAGCTCACAAGATGTAATTTTCTGTTATTTAATTCGGGAAACAGGTTTAAAGAATAACTAGTCATTGAACATTACAAGTCATTCACAATTCAACATTTGTTATCATTGGTTTAAAATGATCCGTTTTGTAATAAAAGGCATTTTAAGATGTTTTATTCATTTATTCATAAAATAACATTTTATCTCGAAAAAACGGAATATGGTCAGCTCTGAAACGGAAAATAACGGAATTAAAAATACTTAAAACGGAATTTGCTATTTTCTGAAACGGAAAATCATCACCCCTATGATAGATAACATCATGAAATCTTCATTAATACCAAGCAGTATTTGTCTGCTATGCATCGGTGCTGTTCCCTTTAAATGTTGTAAAGTTTTATTTTTAATAGCATCGTTTTTATATCAGTGTTCTTGATTTTCTCTTGAAGACTGGGCCCCAGACCCCCAAGACAACGACAAGAGGACAGTGGCGATGATGATGAAGATCAGAAGGTATGTTTTCTAAATAAAATCAGGATTATATTTAGGCGTGTGCACCTTGATCGCAAAGCTAGAAAGAGTTGGTAAAATTACCTTGTTTTTATACGCCCACATTGAAGTGATCGTATATTGTTGTCGCCCCGTCCGTTCGTCGGTCCAGCGTCCACAAGCTAGAGGCTAAAGTTAATATCCAATTGACTTTAAATTTATACACAGTGTTTAACTAGTTTAAGGTCATGAGACGAAGAAGCCTATTGATTTTCAGCGATTTCCGATAATTACTGACAGTAGGGGTTTCAGGTCACGTGACTTTAGCGTGAAATCGGACAGCCAGAGGCTGAAATATTGCCCACTTCAATCTACGATTCTGAATTACTATTTTATGTAAATGCATTACTAGCAATTGTATTGCAATAGTTTAATATCAATCTCAATATCTGCAAAGATTCAGGCTAAAAAATTATCGAAATGTAAGCGAAATTTCAGTTTTAAAATTGGTACTAGCGATTCTGAAGGGAAAATACCGCTCATGACGTCACTCAAATATGACTGAAAAGCACTTATTTTGGTGCCATGCCATGCATTGACTGGTATAGAGCATTTTGATTACATTATTGACGTAGATCTCAGATTTTAAAATTCCATAACTTTGGATCTAATTAGAATATTTTGATGAAATAAAAAAATTGGGTAGCATTTTATGTATATTTTCACAAAATATTTTTTAAAAAAATTTTTCTGTCATTTGAAACTTTGACCTGAAACCCCTACAGACAGAGTTATGACCCTTGATCACTTCCAAATATCTTGTGGACGCTCTAGAGACTAAAGTTAATATCCAATTGACTTTATACACAGTGTTTAAGGTCATGAGACGAAGTCTATTGTCAACGATTTCCGATAGTTAGTACCAGTCACCAGAGTTATGGCCCATGATCCCTTTGTAAAATCTTGTGGACGCTCTAGAGGCTTAAGTTAATACCTGATTGACTTTAAATTTAAACACAGTGTTTACGTTTACGGTCGTGATTTCAGATAAATACTACCAGAGTTATGGCCCATAATCACGTTGAAAAATCTTGTGGATACTCTAGAGACCAAAGTTATCTAATTGACCTTAGATTGATACACTGAGTTTAAGGTCTTGAGATGAACAAGTATATTGATTTTCAATGAATTTTGATAACTTGAACATCTAAATCTATGATATTAAATGTTTTGTATACTAAACGTTAGCATGGGGCAGAACCAAAAGCCAAACAAATTCTAATGATTCTCTGATAATTACTTAATGAGTTGTTACTCTTAATCACATTTTAGTGTATTATAAATGTTTCATTACCAACAATAGAAAAAATATGCGACAACTCTTGTTGACTGCTATCTAGGTCGACTTACCTGTCGTGGGCGTATGTTTCGTTGCCTGGCAACCTACCTTCTATATGGTTTGCGGGGTGTTGGATGGCCGAATGTTTATCACGTGTGCGCTGTATCATATGGTCTGTCATTGAGTCAACTGGCATGGTTTCGTTTCCCTGGTTGCTACGTGACAAGGAGTAGGGTCGTCTGTCCAACCTGTCTGGTGGTGAAGAAGGCCCCGGTAGTTACGTACAAGTCATTATCGCCAATGTGATAATGCACGTCCTAGTCATTTACCGTCCCCCGTACTCTTCTAGTCATAAATTTACTATTAAAGGAGTACTCCACTTTACAAACTTTTCATGATTTATGATAATTTTCAAATAAAAGAGTCAATTTAAGTTTAAAAAATTGAATTTTTTTTTTTTATGATGTAAAACAGTATAAAAAACATAAAAAATAAACGAGTTATCTTTCCCTAGTTAGCTCTTTCGCCATGGCGTTATGATTGCTATGCTGTGACGTCACAGTTGAACAACAGCCTTTGTTTACATGTGCTTGTAGTGCAGAAGTTTTTAGCACCTGATCTGCGAATTTTACAAAAAAAATGGTTCTTTGTGCTGCTGTTGGTTGTAATAATGATTCAAGAAAAACGGCTGGCATTAGCTATTATAAAATCCAGTCTCGAGCAGTTGATATACAGAAGAAATGGATGATTAATCTAAGACGAAAAAACTACGTAGTCACGGCACACTCTTGTATTTGTTCCGATCATTTTGAAGAGGGCTGTTTCGTTCGAGATTTGCAGGCAGAACTTTTAAAAATTACGAGGCCTCGTAAGATTAAAGATGACGCCTTACCAACAGTTTTCAATCATGGCATGAAGAGTTTACCAACAAAACGGAGACTACACACGGAACAACGTCTGAATGCAAAACAAAGAAAATCGGTAAGCGAAATTATGATGCAGATATTTTGTTTACTGACGCGGCACCGGAGCCACTAGTAAAGTAGAAAGATTTGTGGCATTTTATTTTTATTAAAATTACTGTAGAATAGTTTGAATCTACTATAAAATGAAAATGAATTTCCATGTAAAATACATCTATTGTATAGTTTTAAGCCAAAATCATCTAGGTCTAACAAAGGGGATCTATGGCAAGTTGCATGTGTTTTTGAATCCACGAATGTGCGTGGCAAGGAGTAAATTCGCATGTCCAATTCGTTGGTTTTCTCGGGGTCCCCCGGTTTCCTGTCATCACTTAAGACCCCTACGAACAAGTGAATTATTGAAATAAAATTGAACCATGTGTTAGCCCCAAAATGACATAGTTTGTGTCGAGTGGAAGTTACATGTAAATCCAATTTCTCTTGTTTTAAAATCGCTAGATATATGTTTATTATTGTTTTACAGGAAATCCATAACATAATATTAAGTGATGTGTCCAACATCAGTACCAGTACTGGTAATCTAATACAAGACAATCCTGAATCAGATATTTCAACTTTCGAAGCAGAACATACATATGAAAGAACGGAAGAAAGGGGCTGTCAAACTGATTACATTTTATTTCCGGATGTTTTTCCAGCTAATACCTTCAAAGGAACTGTTTCAAGGGGTACGCAAACATTTCCGAAATATTGTAATTCTTCAACCCAATACAGAAAAGAAGATTTTCTTGATGTGCAAAGTTTATTAGAATGTCATTCATACTGTTTTACTTCAATATCAACCCACTCTCTTGATAATTCACATACTCCACAAACCAGTACACCAAAAAAGATAGTACCTATAGAATTTCTTTCTGATTCATCATCATCATCATCTGATGCACGTGACACGGATTACCAACCTAGTCAGGGTGTTGGAGATAGTTCATTTTGTTCAAGTAATGGTAGTTTTTCCATTGACGATGCAAACCCTAACATCTGTTTAAGTAAATTAAATACAGTAGAACCACATGTAGATAGAAAATATATTGTTTTTGAAAGTTCTTTATGTAAGCTTTTTAAATTTTGCCAAATTTGTGGTAGTAACATTATTAATACAACAAAAAGTACTAGCGGTTCATTATTAAAGGTAAAAAGTGTTTGTGTTTTTGGACATAGTTGTACTTGGAACTCACAACCATACATCCGTAAAATGCCTGCTGGAAATTTACTGATTGCTGCAGCTTTACTCTATGCTGGGTGCTCTTATGCTAAAATGGAAGAGTTTGCCGATTTATTAAATCTAGAATTTTTTGGACATTCGACGTATTATAAAATACAAACAGATTTATTTACTATAATTAACGAGGCTTGGACAAAAGAAAGATTATCTGTTGAGAATGAATTAGTTGGCAGAGTACTGTGTGTATCTGGGGATGGAAGATGTGACAGTCCAGGATTCAGTGCAAAATATTGCACTTATTCCCTGCTTGATAGTGGTAGTGTAAAGTTAATTAACTTCAGTGTTGTACATGTTGGGCAAGTTGAATTGAAATCCACAAACATGGAGAAAGAAGGTCTAAGGCAATGTTTGACAACACTGGACGAACGCTTGAATATTAATGTATTGGCAACAGACAGGCACATACAGGTCGGATGCATGTTACGAAAGGATTATCCGAATATTATCCATCAGTATGATGTCTGGCATGTATCAAAATCATTAATAAAAAAAATTATCTGAGAAAGCCAAGTCCAAACAAAATGAGCCCTTAAAACCGTGGATTCAGTCGATCCGAAATCATTTTTGGTGGTGTGTCACAACATGTGACGGTAATATCATTCTTTTGAAAGAAAAATGGATTTCTGTTCTAAAACACTGTTCTAACATCCATGAGTGGACATCAAATGAACAGTTTCATCAGTGTGAACACCCAAAACTTTCAAAACATGAAGAAGCCCAAAAAATGTGGTTAAAACCTGGGTCAGCAGCATTCCAAGTATTACAAGACATTGTTTTGGATAAATCATTTTTGAAAGTTTTAGAAAAACTTACATTAGCATGTCACACTGGAGACCTTGAAGTTTATCATTCGATGATGCTAAAATATTGTCCAAAACGACAGCACTTTTCATTTGAAGGTATGGTTGCTTGGACCCAGCTTGCTGCTCTTGACCATAACAATGGGGTTGGCAGGGATCAAGCAATAGCATCCAGCGGACCCAATGAAGGCACTTACAAATACAATCAAGTGTTCCCAAAACGAACGTCTGTCTGGTTGGCAAAGCCTATCTTTGAAAAAAAAGACCTATGATTTTAAGAGAGATTTGATGGCTAGAACTGTTGAGGTGAGAACTGCTGGAATTGTATTACCAATATTTAATTTACCAGTTGTGCCAGAAAACATTGCTTCTGTGCCTAAGCCGCCTAAGGATGAAACTGTGAGGAAACACAGATCGCGCATGTCTAAATCCATTTTAGACGAGTCACCAGCCGTATCAGAATTATTTTGTGAATAGTTCACAAAATACTGACATTCTTGTTTATATAAAAGATGAAGTTTGTTTGTTGATTATTTGTGGTTGAACATATAAGTTTATTATAAGTAATTTAATGATTCTATTTAATTTGTATTATGAAATCATAAGGTCTGTTATTGAGTCAAATGGTGTGCTTTGGATTCTCCACTTGTAAGTGACATAAATGTGACATTTTTTTTATTAAGATGCATTATGTAAGATTTAGATAAAGAGTTTGCCATTCTCGGCTATAAAGGTTTAAAAATGAATATATTGAAAATTTGTCTAATTACTGCATTCTGGGCGCTGTTATGACAAGAAATAGTGTAGTCTTGATTGCCAAGCACTATATTCACAAGATAAAAAAAACAAGTCTCGGTTATCTTCAATAAAGGCAGCTATCTAAAAACTTTATTTTTAAATGGTAGTAACATAGTGAATTTTAGAAATTTATTCTGCCCACTTAAAACCAGTATAATGACCAGTTGAAGATGGGAATATTGTCCTTATTTTAGCAACAACACAGGATGGTATTACTTTTCTGATGTGTCTTCCCAATCTTTGATGTATATCCAATATATGAACTGTCTGTAGGCTTGGTGTCGTAAAACGCTGAAAGAAAAACCAAAAAAATAGGGGTTGTTACATTTTAACTAGGGTAATAATACTATTTGAAAAGGAAAGATGTCTTTGTTATCTGCTCTGCATTGTGTAATCAGATCTATAATATGCACTTATGTCGTAGTTATGTACATACATATATGTATGAATAAGTTTTATGAATAAGTTTGAATTGAAGATACAACTTTAATACATTTTTAGTATTCTGTATAATAATATGTATATACTTTTTCTTTTTACTAAAATAACTGGTATTGTAATGTAAATTGTTTTTTTTTTCACACCTCATTTGGTGTCACTTGTGTCAAATGAGGTCTACCAACACATTTTATTTGTATTTTATTAGTATTGTTCTGATAATCTCGTTTGTATGCAATAACGTACCTTTATGAGAGTTTGTTGTAGATGAATCATATTTATTTACAAAAGAAAAACAACCAACCACTGGTTTCCAAGCTGATCTACTTCCAATTTGTTTATTTATAACGTGTTCTTTGATTGGCTAAAGAGTGTTTCCCGTACATATTGTCCAATGAAATGATAGAACAGCAGCCAAAGTATATATTTATAGTAATGTGAGAAAATGTCGCCGAACTGTAACTCGGTAACTATAAACTGAAAGTTAAAACTTACTCATTTGAAATCGGCTGGGCTTTGTCTCCTCGCACATCAGCCCTAGCAATAGCCGAAACTTTAAGGACTTCGGCATTTAAGCAAACTGTACGAAAATCCTCATTTTCTATTACACACAAGGTTGTATGGGCGAGTTGGTGAGAAATAGCGTTGGTTTCCTTGCAGCACACACATTCGTCTGACAATGGCATCGAAGAACAATTAGTGCACAGACACCAGTCTGTATTTCCTACTCGAGTATTATTATCAATAACTTCGTCCTCCGATGTATCGGTATCCGAATCCGTTCGCATTTCACCTGGAGAATATTCTGGCTCGAATTGGTAAGGTGCTATCATAGTGGAGTTACGAGCAGCCATTACAAACAATGCTGGATACGGCTTTACTTTGTTCGCGAGTGACGTCATAATTCCATCGCGTGATATTCCTGGTTTTCAAAAGAAGAGTTCTATTTGGCAATATGGCGGCGGCCATGGCTCTTACAAATTGTTTTATAATGCCAATTAAAAAATAAATAAAAACAGTTTCTTGACGGGAATTGCGGGGCTTATTTGTATGAATCAAATACTTTAATAAATATTTCCATGAATAATGGAGTACTCCTTTAAGCAGTTCTTAACGGAATTTTCTACACTCCTTGAATGTGCACTTTTATCGCCTGGTCATCTGATGATTGCTGGTGACATAAACATTCACATTGATGACCTGAAGGACGGTGACGCAGTTCGCTTCTTGGATCTAATCCACTCACTCGGATTGGTACAACATGTCAAGGGTCCCACTCACAACAAGAGACACACTCTGGATCTAGTGTTGACCCGAGGTGCTGATTCCTGGCTGTCAAACTTTACTATTGATTAATCGCTGCCTTCGGACCATGCATGTGTATGTTTCACCACCGCCATTCATCGTCCCCCACCTGCCAAGGTCACGAAACAACATCGCTGTCTACAGAGTATTGACAAGTCTGCATTCCAGGCTTCAGTCCGTGAAATAGTGCTACCATTGGCTGACCAGTCACTCGGTGATGTCGATGTGTTGTGTGAGTCTTACACGTCTGCTCTGGAAACTGTCATCGATAGTCACGCCCCGCTGAAGACGCGCGTAGTTACAGATAAACCCCGCGCTCGCTGGTTCACTAAGGACATTCTAGAAGGGCGTAAGGATCTCAGGACTCTCGAATGGAAGTGGATTAACTCTGGACTTGAGGTTCACAAGCAGATATTCCATGCGGCGCGAGATGCCTACAATAAACTGCTTGATGAAACAAAGTCCGACTATCATTGTTCCCGGATTGAATGCGCGGATCAGAGGACTCTGTTTGGAATAGTCGATGAGTTGTCTGGTTCGAAAAGGTCAACTTCCCAAGTACTGCCTGATCTTGAACCCAGTGACCTACCTGATCAATTTGCATCGTTCTTCACGCAGAAGATCAAGAACATTCGTGAGAAGATCGGCAATGGTTCGCCAGTTGTGGACTTTTCGGATGAAACTTCTTGTCGGTTGATGAACTTTGTTCCCATGATGCAGGAGGCTGTCACAAAAGTGATCGGTGATATGCCAAATAAATCATGCGCATTAGACCCAATACCAACTTCTCTAGTCAGGGACTGTATCAATGATCTTTCTCCAGTGCTGACCAATATTGTCAATGGCTCTTTTGCCACAGGAGTTTTCCCCCGGTCTTGCAAGGGCGCGTTGGTCCGCCCTCTGATAAAGAAGTCAGGTCTTGATAGAAATGAGTTCAAGAACTACAGACCAGTGTCCAATTGCAGTTTTTAGAAAAATGTGCCTTTGTTCAGTTGAATGCCTACTTGGTAGACAATTCCCTTTATGGTAAATTTCAATCTGCCTATCGGGAGGGACATAGCCCCGAGACTGCGCTCCTTAGAGTGCATAACGATGTTATGCTCTCTCTAGACGGACAGAGAGATGTCATTTTAGTTATGCTAGATCTTTCGGCTGCTTTCGACACCATTGACCATGACATACTCATGCAGCGGTTTGGTATCGGTGGCTTTGCCCACGATTGGCTTGGGTCCTTCCTTCGTGGACGAACACAAGTTGTCACGATCGGGTCTTTGGTGTCGAAGGAGCCACATACACTTGAATACGGTGTTCCTCAAGGTTCTGTTCTTGGGCCTGTGTTATTTTCACTTTACATGTCACCATTAGAAAATATTATTTCCCAGCATGGATTAAACTGTGTCATTTTCGCTGACGATTCCCAGATCTACATGACTTGCAGGACCCGCACTGCCTATTCTGTTGTTGCCTCCATAGAGGCCTGCGTGACCAAGATCCGCCACTGGATGCAGGCAAACATGCTTGCTCTTAATGACAGGAAAACCAAGGTTCTCTGGTTTACGTCTAAAAACAAGAGGGTCAGTGATCGGGCCCTGGAGGCTGCTGTGCGGATTGGTGACGTCACAGTTCCCCCGTCCCAGTCGGCCCGGAATCTGGGCGTAATATTTGACTCTTCCGGCTCTCTGAGCGAGCATGTTGTCGCCGTGTGTTGTGCTGCGTCGTACTCTCTCTGGCGTATAGGAAAATTGAGGAATCTTTTGGACCAAAGAAGTACGGAAAAATTAGTTCATGGTTTTGTTACATCCAGATTGGATTACTGCAACAGTTTACTTTTCGGCCTGCCTTCGTATCAAATTCAGAAATTACAGCTAATCCAGAATTCTGCTGCTCGGCTGGTTGCCAGGATGCTGCATCGATTGCGTGATTCTATCACGCCCGTGCTACGTGAGCTCCATTGGCTTTCGGTCTGTGTATTATTTTCAGAAGTATTCACCTTCGTACGGCGCCACGTTACCTCAGTGAGCTGGTGTCCGTTCAGAGATCCGAAAGAGTCACTCGTAGTTCGGATGAGATCCGACTCGAACCACCCTCCACGAGAGAGGCACGCCATTTTACCGCATATGCAAAGCGCTTACTGACAGTCTGTGGGCCCGAACTGTGGAATGTTCTCCCTTGAGATCTTAGGGCAATCGATATTTACAGTCAATTTAAGGCAGCTCTCAAAACGTTTCTTTTTAGGCAATACTACCTTTAAATTAATGATTGTATCTTTATCACATATCACGTATTCTTCTTATGTATATTATGATATTTTTATTTTTATTGTGTTCTGTGTTATATGTATAAATTGTAAAGCCTACTGAGATAATGTATGGAGTGGGCTCTAAATATATTAATAAATAAATAAACAACCTTGTGGGTTTTCTCCGGGTCCTCCGGTTTCCTCCCACTTCTAAAGACACCCACACGCAAGCGAATTATTGAAATAAAATTGAACCATGTTAGTCCCGAAATGACCTAGTTTGTGTCGAGTGGATGTTAAACCCTCTCTTTCTCTCTGGTTTGCCCCACTCACATGAATGAATTGTTAATTTTGATTGGTATAATAAGGCTGGGATACATGCAAGGACTTCCGAGGTGCTATTGTTAGGAAATCGATAGCTCACAACATCTGCATTATATCCATTGCAAACAGTATTGTTCAACACAGTTGTGATACATGTATCTCATAATATCTTGTTCAAAATTATGATGAAAATATGAAGTAGAGATTTATGTCAATACCTGCATAATTTTAGTATGGTTATCCAAATAAGATATATAAGACTATCTCTTTGATATATTGCAGCATACTGTCCAGTCTTCAGTGGTAGCTACTTCTTTAGAAACCCGCACAAAATCATTAGAAAAACAAAGTAAAGACAGAGAAGGCATGGCAAGGTATATAATTATGATATTTATGATCTATAAAGAAATTGTATTCTCTTCTACATCTATGTTCTTTGTAAATAGTAATTTGTTACATTTTTCAGTTCTGTAAATTCTTTATCCTACTAATCAAACAAATTAGAATTTATATATATGTCTATTTTCATATAGAAATAAGCGAATGTTTGGCATGATATTAGGAACTCTGCAGAGATTCAAGACTGAGGCGAAAGATAATAAAGACAAGGTTAGTTGTAGATTTTATGATATGACCACATAATTTTGCTAAAGGGGACATAAATGGAATCTGTCACTTCCAACACCGTACAGGATCGATAAAATATGCCGGTTTACACAGCATGACAGAATACTCAATACCGGAAACATTATGATACCTTCTTATATTTTATTACTAGGTGGTTTTGTATGTATAATATTATGCAATGCAATGAACTATTTTTTCACACAATGCTCCCAAACGCAAAAAATATCGACCCGTGTGCACGAAAAAAAATTGCACGAGATGCACATGAAAAACCCAATATTCACGTGCAGCATTGTGTGTGAGCCCTTTAAAAGCATGTTTTCAACTTAATGTGCAGTACATGTTGTTGGACGTTTGAAGGAATCGAGCTAGAGATGCCGAGACTTAACTGAAAATCAACGGAATGAAGCCATGGGAATGTCCCGAGCTGGCATGTCTACACGTGCTATTGCCAGACACTTCAATTGTCATCAGTCCACTATTGTAAGGTAGGTGGATCAACACGTGACCATCAACGCCACAACGCGTTACAATCCAGGCTCAAGACCGCTACATCCGGGTCACTCATCTGCGTGACAGATTCCGCCCAGCGACTCGACCAGTAAGACAAGGACCAGTTAGTGCCAACACCGTAAGACGTCGTCTAAGAGAAGTAGGACTCCGTGCACGACGACCTTATGTTGGAGCTATCCTCAGGGATCATCACCGTCAGCGGCGTTTGATATGGGCTCAAGGGCACCAGACATGGAGAAGAGTAGACTGGCAAAGTGTGCTCTTCAGTGATGAGAGTTGCTTTCATCTTTATCACGCTGATGGCACCGATAGAACATGTCTGGGATGAGATTGGACGCCGTCCGTATCGGAGACCACAGATGCACACCATTACTGCTTTAGAAGCTGCTCTTGTCCAAGAATGGAACAATTTGCCCCAGGCCTTCTTTTAAACATTGGTTAATTCCATGCGACGTCGCTGCACAGCGTGCGTAAGATCCAGTGGAGGACCCACGCGCTACTGACATCTGTGTCGTACTTTTGGCTTTGACCCCTCTGACTTTGTTCCGTTGATTACAGATTAAATATCCATAAGTGTACAAATGTGTTGTTATTGATGTGTTCCCATTTGAATATTGTTCACAATAAGAAGCAAAATAAATAAGATATGTTTACAGGATCATTTTGTTATACGAAAAACTAAGTGATGCGTTTTCCATGGCGCTCAGTATATTATTTCCTTGGGTTGTATATCAATGTTGTATTTGGTGGCAAATAATTTGATATTTACGTTGCTATACGTATCACAGATATGCAATTGGTGATTGCTTGTCAATCTTTTGTAGGTTAACACCCACTGATTAAAGGCCAGATTATACAATATTAATTCAACGCAAATTGTGTGACGGGAACGCTGTTTGGTGTCGTAATTCCCAATGTTCAGAATATGAACCACTCAAAACTTTTGGTTGAAGTAATAAGGATGGATTTCACAGAATGTTGTAGTATTCAGAAGCTGGATGTTACAGAGTCCACTGTATATTTTTCAAAATAACCAGTTGAAATAGTCATTGTCAACTTCTTTAAATCAACAATATACATATACATGTATAATTGTACAATACATGATCATGATGTAGTACAGTCTGTCTTTAAATTTAAAGATACATTATGTAGGATTTAGATAAAGAGCTAGCCATTTTTGCTATAATAGTTCGAAAATTTCATTCAAATTACCCTATTGCGAGCGAAGATATTAGCCTTTGAACGTTTGACAAGATATGTGCAATAATTTCAACCTCCGCACTGGTTGTTCGAAGCTAAGTCTTGCTCCTCCATTTTTAGCTTAAATCAAAATATGGCTGCTGAACTGTTCTAATCAGGGCTTCCACTTCAAAATTTCCACTGCCGGTCATTTTTGATAACGCACAAAAACTTTTCGAAGTAAATTCATATTTCATGTTTTTTATTCATGGTAGGGTATTGTGAATTCACGTGTCTATACTTTGTCACCATGGGGTGCACACAAAAAAATATATTTGACTTAAAAATGAAATATTAGTAAGGCTCATGATAATTATTTAATAATTAAATATTCCGTTTTGGCTACTTAAATAACGAAATAGTTGAATTGGCCGGAGAAAAACCATTTCAGTAGTTCACACGTAATTAACACGTGCTCTATAGAAAACACACTGACCTGGATAATTTTGAGTTGTAATACAATAATTTTGAAATGAAGATAAATATATAATTATCCATGGCATATATCTCACATTTTTTGGGTTTTAGACCATCTCTTACGGAATTACGGGCCGCAGAATTGTGACGTAAATCCTAATAATGTGTAACTAAATGACTAACGGATAACTAACTTCACGGCTAGCGACACTAGCGCCCCCTAGAATATGGTCGTGTATAATAGTAACCGTATATACACGACATTTCTTCTACACGTGGAATTATCAATATTATCAATATTGCTGCACAATAGAACTGGAATACGTATTTTTCTTAATTGTTCGGTAAGCAAGTTAACTAATCTCTAGATTTTATTTCAACAATTTCCACAAGGCCGTAATACCGCTATAAACATTTTATTTTTAAATGCATTTTTCTTCCAACATGTACGTTGTTGAGGACTTACGTAATTTCTAGTTTATATGACAGTTGGTTGGATTCGAGGAGCAATACTTCATATCAATTGCCCTTTTTCGAAGATCATAATAACCTCGTTTACATTGTGCCTGACCGTAATAGCGGTAAACGGCTTTGTTGTTGAAAATTCTTATGACACGTGGACAACACGTGAATGATTAACAATGGGCCGCTTCCCGCCGTTGATTAGATTCCCACTTATCAATTAACATTTATTGTTCTACTACCAGACACTCATCATTAATTATCAACACAACACTCAGTATAATCTGTTGACGACTATATATACAACTCTATAACACCAGTCATGAGATTGGCTTCTAGACGACGTGCATTCTTGTATAGTTACACAGTGAAGGTTGATCGTAGCCATGTTTGAAATTGTTTTTGTTTTTTTTTAAAAAAGACCCTTTTTCCAGCGTGCAAAATGACCGTTAGGTCAGATCTAGGAACGATCATTTTCCATAGACGTAGGTCTCGACCGGCATATACGGTCGACGTGGAACCCATGGTTCTAATCTATTTAATACCGGGGAACTCCGAAGCCATCGAGAGTTGATTAAGGCCTGGATAGGTTAATGTCTAAATAGTAATTTAGAAAACATTTCAGGCCTAAAGAAAGACCTGCAATAGGCAGATTTAGCCCTTGCATAATGTATGTTTAACCCACAGTTTTGAAATGACATTGATTGGTTTAAAAGCCAAGTCTTTCCCTTAAATATCTTAGTATAGTCCTGTCTGTGGATAAATACATCAAGGAAGGCTTGAAAATGTTTTACTTGCTTTGCATTTTTCAGGATGACCATCGTCGAAAGCTTGAAAAGAAACTGGATGATAAAGCAGAAAAAGAAAAGTTGAGAGTTAAACAAGAGACACGCAATCTAATAGATGAAAAACGACTAGAAATGTCTAAAATACGTAGATTAGAACAGAAAATGGAACTTGTGCAAGAGGTAATTGGAAATATTTTATTGTCCCCGCCTTTCGAAGAAAGCAGGAGACTATTAAAATGGGTTCGTCCGTCTGTCTGTCTGTCACACTCTTTGGGACACAATAATTCTCCTTCTAATTGAGCTAGAATGTTCAAACTTGGTGTAGGTGTTTATTATTTCAATGCCTTGATGGAGTGTGAAGATGAGCACTTTCTGCGGAGGGTAAGCAGAGATAAGCAATTTGATTGGTTGATGCTTTGATTCTATCTGATAGAGACTGATGAAACGTAGTGTATAGTTGATAATCAGTTTGATTGCTTGATACTTTTAAAAAAAAAAAAAAATGTGCGATTAATTAATATGTGTCATCTATTTATTTTGGGATTTCGGCGGTGGACATCAGCCTCACTGTTGGCTTGTTATATTGTACATATATGGACAAGACATATCACACAAATACATCGCACGCATACTTTGTAATTAATAAATAGGGAGCCACTGTGGCTCAGTGAGTAAGATATTAGTTCACTAATTTGGAGGTCCTGTGTTAGGTCCCGGTGTCAGCCAAGAAAGTTCAAAGTTATTTTCTGACGTGGTTACCCCTTGTCAATAGTGTCAAAACAAACCATGCTGGAGTATATGTAAATTTCTGTGAGTGACAACCACAACTAAATACACCTCTTATGGAAAAACCCCACCTGAAGCAAGCTATTGGAATGACCGATAAACTCCAGGTGTAATAGTTAGACATAAAATTTCTATATTGATATGTACTGTAGGATGTTAAACTCAATTTCATTTCTATATTGATACAGCAGTATTGTGTGTACATTTAACTAAACACTGGTAACAATATGATGGTATATATTACAATCACCTATATATATATATATCTTTCTCTGTGCATAAGCATTTCATTATTCATTAAAAATCTTTCTAGACTACAATTTTTAAAAAATCCTATCTGTATAGACAATAGACTTAACCAACCAAAACATGGTATTAATGTTTTATTGCTCTTCCTTTTTATCTGAACATTTTGCTATTCTTATTTACAGCATGAATCTATAAAATTTGAAATGACCAAATTATCCAACTTCCTGTGCACAAAAGCTAAACCTGCCCTTTTCTACATGCCTAAAAAACGGTTAGCTGTTGATGATGTCAAGCTAAAAGATTCAGTCATTTTTGTCAACAGTAAGTTTTAAGATGTATTTTTGAGTAGTATATTGGAATAATCATTCAGATATTTTGAATATTAAATTCAACATTCAGTGTGACCAGTAGCAGATTGTTAGTTTGTGATAATGAATGTTCTGCCTAACCATATGGGTTTTCACTGGGTTGTTCCGTTTCCAAAATTGTAACTGCATTAGTACTTTTTTTTTCTCTGTACCCTTCCCTCAATGACATTAAACCCTGTTTGTCTCATATCTCTCCCTATATTTTTCTTGGAGGAGTGCTTTTATTGTAGCTATGGAACAAACCATTATAGTATCATAATCATACTTAAATAAAGATCATCTTATCCATTGTAGAATTGATTGAAGAAAAGAAAGCTAAAATGGAGAGTGAAATAGAAGAAATAATGCATAGAGAGAATGAAAGAGAAGAACGTATACGTGCCCGTATAGCGGAGAGATCACAGAGAGATAGTGGTGATGAGGAAGATGATGAAGAGGAACATCATGAAGATATGGATGATCATGATGATGATCAAAAGGCTATTGATGCTCATAAAGCATCTTTTAGAGAAGATAAAGAAAATGTTAAGAAAGAACCATTTTCTGATAATGAATCTAATACTCATGGTGAGGGTTTTACTGTTTCAGGTATCAAACAGGAAGATCGGGATATTGAGATGGGGGAGGTGGAATGTACAGTGACAGATGGAGGGGAAGGGGGACTTGGGGAGGAGGGACCTAAAGACCAAAATACCAAACAAGTAGGTGACAGCGGGGCTGACAATGGGGCAGGCAATGAGGAAAATAAAATGGAAGCAGAAGATGAAGGTCTTGATGGAGGTATGGTTAATACAGTGGGTGGTGGTGCTCGTGCTATATCTGACAAAGACAAGGACAGTCGTAGGCATTCAAAAAATAAAACCGACGCTAACGAGACTGCTAAAAAATCTGATAGACGTAGTGACGACAAGGACAGACATAGGACAAAATCAGGACATAAAGACAACAAGTACCGTTCCAGTCGAGACAGTAAAAAAAGTTCAAGTCACCGAGATGAAAGACACAGACGATCTGGGAGTCGTGATCGCAAAGATCGACACAAACATTCAAAACGCTACAGTGAAGACAGACCTAAACGTTCTCGTCATGATAGTAACTCTGATGATGACAACGATAAATCCAAAGATAAAACACCTAGTAAAGACAAATCGGCTGTGAAAGAAAAATCAATCCCAAATATTGCACAAGAAGAATCTAAACCGGTGGAAAGTATGGATAAAGAAATTGATGAAAAAGATAGTATGGTTGGTATCCAAGACATTTCAACAATTGAACTTCCACCTTCAAAGCCGGTATTAGATGAAAATATCAATGAAGACGATCTTATTAGGATGATAGTTACTGGTGATGCGTCCACACAAAGTAGTAGTCGGTTTCATCAAGGTAGACAATCGCAAGATAGTGCCGAAGAAAGGAAAAGAAAAATAGTAATGGCAGAAGATGAAGAAGAAATGGATGATCAACCAGCAGATGAATGATTATATTATTATTGTTAGTGACTTGAAACATTATTTAAATCCTGATAATAGATAATGGTGCGTTTGATTCAATGTCTACATGGATGTAGTTTGAAACAAATTAGAACTTCATTTAGTTATGTTCGAAAACGCTAAATTTGAATTATTTTATGGTATAACTATAAGGTTAAAGACATTGTATATTGTTACATATATGCTACTGATTTTGTACGCCAACTTCTTGAATGCCCACATGCCCACATTACTTGTAAGTGGAAATAACTCTTTCAAATAGCAAATTACTTGTTCCTCTCTTTGAAAACTTCTAGGATAACACTCAGGTAAGTATGCTTTTTTTAAATGAATAATTTTTTAAAACTAATGTAGGTATTATTACTTTTTTTTTATTTTAAGTTAATTGTTTTATATGCAATATAAGACTAGACCTCTTTGATCAGGGTAAATTGATATGATTTAAATTTGTGTCGATTTGTATTACAAAGTGGATATCTGTTTACATTTTAAAGTTTAGATCCACAGATAGAGCCAGTGTTAAAATATAACAGGTTATGTGATCCACTGTTGACAGTTTGAACCAAAATCTAATCGTAAATATTTGAAGCAAACTGATTTCCACTTATTATTTTGAAATGAAAATCTAATTGTATATATCTTGTCCCATTACTAATAAAAATATCACATCAGACCTACCCAATTCAACACTTTACTTGTGTCATAAATTAAAGAGGTTTAGCTCCATTAAGTAATTATACAGAGTTAGTAGAACTCGGGGGTGATTCATTTTGCAACAAATCTAAATCTGAGATTTTTCCAGATTCAGAATCTTTTGTAATGATTCAGAGCATGGAAATTAACATGCTGTGTGAATTCTCTAGCTTCAGAAACATAACCAGTGAAATTAAAATCATGAAAATTTGAATTCAGATTAACTTCATTCAAACATTCATAAATTGTTGAATTTAATTAATTTTTTCACAGATAAATGGGATGGTTCTGTATGTGATAGGCCAATCTTACATGGATCATCAGCTGAACATTCAGCCGATATTCCAGAGTGAAATGACTAATTTAAAAAGAAAAAATAACAGTATAATTTCAATTTCAACTGACTAAGACTGGTCACAGTTTATAGCTTTTGTCAAAAATGAATGCTTACTGTCGGCAGATGGTCTGCTGTAGATCTGCTAATCATGTACAGAACATGACATGTAGAATGTGGATGTACATGTACTATACATTAATCAAATAAATTGCACTTATCTGAGGAGGGGGGGGGGTACAAAACAACATGGTTAATACAGCCCAATACGCAGATGAATATTTTAACGATATGTTGTGTTGCAAACAATGTCTCGGGCGGATTAAGTAGGCTACTCTGTAATTGCTACAGACAATTTTTCTGTTCATTAGCAATGACATTAATCCACCTTAAATTGTTTCAGAATGGAAAATATTAATTTTTGTACAATTGGCTTCACTAATTGCTAGGTGGATCAATTAATATAAGCATTGTATGAATTTACTTTCTCTTATGCAGATTTTTTTTTGTAATATAATTTAATTTGCATAATCTACAAAATAATGAAAAGTTTGCAATATTTCTCTATTACCATTCTCGAATCTAGAAAATCATAAAAGTAAATCATTTACTGTATGTAAAATATTAGATTGTATAATAGCATTATTTCATTTGATTTTTAGTTATTTAAATTTCAAACGTACACATCATAGAATAAAAGAATTTAAAACATTAGTGTTTTTATATGTTTGATATATTATGGTGTCTTTAAGTAGTCCACATAAAGAAAGTAAACAATTATGAATGTACTACTGTTTCTTTAAATATTGATCTATATTGCTGTAAAGCTTGCCCTTAAAAACAAAATATTTAATTATTAGAGAAACAAATGTTTATTTGCTAAATGCAACATTATCTATAACCTGGGCAATGGGTGCAGGATGAAGGAACTGGTGAGAACAGTGCCTAGTCATTCGGATGGATGAAAAACCATGGTCCCACATACATATTGGCATGCACTGAAAAGAACCTTTGGTAGTTGGAATTTGAAATAAGATTAGGCCGTAGCGCTGCTCTCTGGGAAAAAATTTCCTATTTCCTCATATCGCACTGTTTCCTCATATCACACTACATGGCATACCCTGTTTTCATTAACCCAGTCAGTTTTATATGCCCAAATTTTCATGTGGCCGTATATTGTCGTCGCCCCTGTCCGCCCATCCATCCATCCGGATGTCCGTCCACAATTGTTTGTGAACACTCTACAGGTCACAATTTTTATCCAATTTCAATGAAACTTGAAACACAACAACTTTTGGTCTTGGAAGGAATTATTAGTGAGCAGAAATTTGCCCATTATCTGTTATCACTTGTCACTTCAGTCAGTTATATAGAGGGATGACTCGTGTTTTCCTTTGGCGTTCGTCACTTCTGATTCAGGAAACCTGTATTACTCAGCTATCGTAGCAATGATCTCTATGTTAAAATTATATTTGGAAGTGTTTAATTAGTTCTATCACATATGTGATAATGACTGACACCAATATTGACCTTTAAATTGAAGTACAGTTTTGTCCCATGTCATGATGTGTCACATTTAGCCAGAGATGTCACATATTTTATTCATGAAATGAAAGTAACCATATTCCTGTCCTTTCTTTGTGTTAAGATGGTGCATGTGAGGCTGAGATGGAAAGTGTTCCAGACATTAAGATGGGATGACAACTGACACTGACCAAATTCTGTTTTCTCACATGACACATTCATCCGTAAAAATACTGTATATTATGGTTGTGCAAAGATTTGAATTTCTTTGGTGTATTGCAACTGCTTAGAGTAAAATCTGTATTATTTCGTAATAAACATGTATTATCTTTTAAGTTTATAAGTAGGTTGCCAGGCAACAAAACATACACCCACAACAGCTAACTTGTCTGTGTGGTCTTAAAAGGTTATGGTTGACACCTAATTTTTCTCTTCTGTAGGTAACCAAAGATTTACATGACACTAAAGAATAACAACCGCTTAAGTAATTATAGGAAATAATTAAAATTTGATTGGCATCTAGTTCTTCCCAATCATAAATAAATACGAAAGACACTGAAAATGAACGGGTTTTATCTTTCTAGAAGCCCAACAAGATTTGAAAAATGACTCAAAGGCCATAACTCTTGACAGTAGTCCTAATTATCGTTCAACTAGGATTCTTCAATCAGTTGATAACCTTAGGCCTCTACCATGCCCACAAGGACCATAACAGACAGTAATTATCAGAAATTGTTCAATGAAGACAAGATCCATCATAAAAAGCAATAAACCTTTAACTTGATTTTATTTCAAATTATACAAAAGCTTGATGTGTAAAATAAAATAGAAATACATGATTAATATTCATTCTGAAAAATAAGATTAACTACTGTTTTTTTGCCAAAAAGTTTTGTAAAATCAAAGTAAAGGCTAGTTATATATTTTGGCTGGAGGGACATCCAACATTTTCAAAAGAAGAAAGGAGTTGGTAAATACAAGTTAGATCTAAAAATCTTGATTTTAACATTTAAGAATAAAAAAAATAATTTTAAACTATATGAAGGAAATTATCTCTTGCAATCATTGGATCATATCACAATAGAATAAAACAATGGTTGACTTAATTACACCAGTACACAAATAAATCTATAAATTAAGAATAGTTCCATTTTAAAAAGCTGTTTCACAGATTTGTTTTTTAAATTTCTAGACTATTATCAGTATTATGACTGGTGCATATATCTAGAAAGATGATGGAATGCTAACATCTTGGCGTTCCTTATGGTTAGCTAATAAGTTGTTTAAAGATGCATTATGTAAGATTTAGATAAAGAGTTGCCATAATAGTTTAAAAATAGATAATGAAAAAGGAATATATTGAAAAATTAATTCATTCTGAGCATAGTCTCGATTTTCATTATGTCTCAATTATTGATTTTTAAAATAAATTATTTAATGGCAACTGTGTTTCAATCTGTTCAAGATCACAACCATCCTGGAGAGTTGCTTATGAGTTTGTCCTGTGAATAAATTAATGTCTAATTAATGATTTATATAACAGTTTAGTCCAAAAGAGAGATCTGCAATAGACAGATTTAGCTCTTTCATAATGTATAAGTGACATTGATATCAAGAAAATCATTGTTGAAATGTTGCTCCTATTAAATTCACAAATTATATTCAGATATTTTATTATTTTTTTATAATTTACAGCTCTCTACCTTTTGTAATAGTCAGTCTATACTATAACTATAGTAGGCCTATCAAATGTTTAACATGGCCATGGTGCCAAAAGGATAAAAATAGCCCATTACCAAGGGTAATATAAAAACTAATGATGACAAACCAAGAGGAATACTTACTAATATTAACTACTAATGAACATTTACATTCTAGTTCTACAATGCTTAAACCCATAAATCCACTTTCAATAGGGTTAAAAAAAATGGAAATGAGCAATGGGACATTTTCCATTAGGCCACGGTTAATTAATTGTAAGTTTCTCATGACCTGAGTTTGTGAAATATACATGCTACATGCGGTAATTATTAATTATTGAGATGAATTTTTTTTTGTTTTTAGTTTAATGCTGTTTCTATTTCAGCAATAACTAATGTCAGTTAAACTTGGTCTATAAATATTTATAGATTAAAATATCCGTTGCACAGTATCCGGGCACATCGGAAGACTTGATATACTATTCAAAAAAAGTAGGGGATATTTGATTTTGGGGGCATAATACTAAAATATGCAAATGACTACGAAAAAAGTCACTATAGAACCTAACAGAAGAAACATTTCCAGTTACATGTGACGCCCAAACGCACCAATAGCTACCGCATGGAATGCAGGTGATGCTTGGGATCATCATGGGGGTCCAACCCAAGATTTGCACGACTCTGACTTTGAATGTTACAGTCATTGTGGCATTGAATTCCAGGGTGGAAACATCAGTTTAATTGTTTTAGTGACCAGAAAACAAATTTTGATATGCGTCGGCTTACCCAAAATGAAAGGTTACGTGCCCTTGGCATGCTACAGATCGGCACAACACAGGCGGTTGTGGCGCGGACGATGAATGTTTCTCAGTCTGTCATAAGCAGGCTATGGTCCAGATACCGTGATACACAATCTGTACAGGACAGACCACGCTCAGGTCGACCAAGGGCGGCAACTCAAGCCAAGGATCGATTTATCCGTACCTTGGCCTTGAGAAATCGTGTCATCACAGCAAATCAGATCAGCGCTCGTCTTCAAACAGACACTGGTGTGAGAGTGAGTGGCCAGACGATTCGGAATCGACTGCATAAGGGTCACCTTCGCGCCCGACGTCCTCGCGTGATCCCTTGTTTGAGAGATCATCACATTCAGGCAAGACGTCGTTGGTGTAGGGATCGTCAACACTGGGATAATCGATGATGGACCAATGTGATGTTTTCAGATGAGTCAAGGTTCACTGTTGATTTTTTGGACAGACGTAGGAGGGTGTGGCGTCGTCGAAACGAGCGCTTCCAAGACGTTAACGTCATCAGACATGATCGATTTGGGGGTGGTTCTGTTATGGTGTGGGGAGGCATCACTGTTGCTGGAAGAACGGCTTTACATGTTGTTGCAGGGCGTGTTACAGGCCAGTACTACCGGGACAACATCTTGGCAGTCCATGTTGTGCCGTTCGCACGACGTCATGGCCGCCGTTTCATCTTCCAGGATGTCAACGCAAGATGTCACAGGGCCAGGATCGTTACAGGTTACCTCCAACAACAGAACATCACCACATTACCTTGGCCAGCACTGAGTCCCGACCTCTCCCCCATCGAGCATGTCTGGGACATGCTTGGACAGAGGTTACGTCAACGTCAACAACGTCCTGCCAATGTCCAAGAACTTGCTGCTGCGTTGCAACAGGAATGGGACAATCTGGACCAAAATGACCTTAGACCTCTCATTAGGAGTATGCCACGTCGGATCAATGCTTGTTTGGCAAACAGAGGAGGATTTACCCGTTACTGACTTGGTTGTGATGCTGTGGTAACTTTGCTGTTTGACCCCGGGTATCATTTTACCCTTATAATGGTCAGTCTGTGCCTTACTTAGTCTAACGATCATTTGGAATAAATCGATGAATGTGAACTTCATTTCATTTTGTCATTTGTTTCTTCGTCAGTTTCATTAGGTGACTTTAATAACACTTAAAAATCAAATATCCCCTACTTTTTTTGAATAGTATATAATAAATCAGTTTAAATTATTAGTGATATGCTTCTAAGTTAACGGTTTGTTAATTCATTCATTCTTGGCATTTCATATCTTTATCCTTCTCTACTTTGACAGGTTACGAAATGACCTGTTCCAAACTGGTTAATGATTTGTTCTGACATAAATAATTAAAAGCATACACTTGGAATTTTAAATACAAATAAGTTAGATTATTTAACAAGTCAGTCAAAGAATTTACTACACACGTGGGCGTTTCTCTAGCCGTGAGCGAAGATAGTACCAATGCCATGGAAATAGCCCGTATGTTAATTGTCGTCAACTTTGAACACATCTTCGGCAAGAGGCATCATGATAATATGAATACTTTTATTATTGTGTCTATCTTAATCAAACTGTTTACATTTATTTGTATCTCTGTGTCCTTTTGAGACTGTTTATATAGTGTTGTTAATAAAATACCGTGAAGCAGTGTCAACCAGTTGGTATCTCATGATCGAGGCTATCTCATGGCGGCAGTTCTAGGACCGCTGCTAGTCAGTAAATGAAATAATTTAGCAGGAATCAAAAGACATTTATATCTTTCTGTGAATTTTATTACAAATGACAAGTGCCTTATAGAGTATATATGTGGTCTTTGGTGAATGTTGTAGCTACCATTCCTTGGTATGGATGACAGATATGATACGGCTTTATCACTTCCGTTTTGCGTATGGATTCACATTCTAGCCTACTTTTAAGTACTTTACTTATCACCCACGGTGTCCTGTTCAGCGATAAATAGTGTATTTTAATGCGTCTATTCATTGTTCATATTTAAAGGCAAACAAATATAGTTTTAAAGGAAATATTTTGGAGCTCACTAAATTTGACCAAATAATTATGGAAGTGCGTAATTATTACGGATGAAAACAGACATGCGGGCGGGTCATGAGAAACAAACAATTAATTAACCGCGGCCTTATGCTACAATATTTTATTCAGTTCAATCCTACCTTTCAAATGACAATTTTTGAACTGTTCAGATTAGTACCTTGTTGAGATATTTCCATCTGACAAGCATTTTGGAAGGTGACTCACATAAAACAGTAAACATAAAGTGATTGTAATTCCTCGATTAAAAACAAATTACTAAAAAAAAAAAATGCCGAAAACCATCAATATAAATCCCCAGACATCTTTTTCATTACGATTACGATTCATCTTTTTGTCAGTGACATTGCCGGTTTGGAGTGCAGTCATCTCCTGGGCGCACGGGAGAGGCAGCACTAATTTTCATCTTGGCTTTGACTAATTTTGTCTTCCCCTTTTTTTTAGATTAATATTCCTACTCCACTTTAAGTGACAACATTAAAATTATGCATTTATTGCATTTTATTGCCTTTTTATTCATTTATTATGCAATTTAATAGATATCTTTAAAGGGCATTTAGTGAAAGCAATATATAAAAACAGACAGTTTTACACTAGGTTTATTAACTGCAACATTTCAATGAGTAAAAGTGTATTTAATATGTTACATATACTGCACTTTAATAATAAGAACTCGCTCGGCCTGGATTAACAATACTGTTGATGCTGCCACATTATGGATAAAAAAATATCAATAAAGTCTTATATTCTAGTCAGATATCTAACTGCACAATTATTTTTGTCAAGAAAGGCATCTACCACATTTTTCATGTAAACACTTCACATGTTTGTCATGTTGATGGAAATATTCAACAATAATTTAACAAAGAAATTCATGAATTAGTTGGATATTAAACAAGAACTAAGACAATAAGACATTATTAACTGGATGTGTATGCTGCAAATATTTTCCTGGTATGCCTCTAAGACATTACAGGCAAATTAAAGCATATATTATGAATACATTCAAATATTTACACAACTCCCACACTCTAGCACAAATGGTAAAATCGTTCTTGTTTTAAATGGAAGGCTTAGAAAAATATATAAAACAGAAATCGTTTACTGACTCTTGGTGAGTCCCACAATTTTGCCACATAATCCACTTATAATACCTCCACTAGGGATGATGTATTCACCTGGTTCTCTTTCAGGTCCAACCTCTCTTAAATTTGCATTACTGTCCAATAATTCATTTAGGAACCAATATCCGGTATATTTGCTCTTTCCCTGGTGTCCGTACACTAATATGCCTCTTGCGGAACTAATTAATTCGGTTTCACATGGCGAAATACTGTTTACATCTACACAGTGGTACAAATGTCTGTGAGTATCGTCTGCCTTAAAATGTGTTTTAAGAGTTTTCAGGTGTGTCATATCCATCATGATTAAAAACCCTGTCAAATAAAATATATATATAGACGAGGTTAGCCATTACTAACTAGGAAATGCAGGGTTCAATTCTGTGGTTGTCCGAGAAAGTCCCCTGGGATTTCACAACATGGTTTCACTTTATAAGTGGTGCAGGGCGGAGGTCCTGACAATGGAATGATAAACCTTGGTCATGTGTACAAACTGGCATGCATGTAAAAGAACACTTGACAGTTAGATTTCAAAATAAGAATACACCATAGCTTCACTGACCGGACAACATTCCTCTCATAGCATATTATATGGTGTATGCCCATCTTTATTATATTATAGCAGGTGGTACAGAAACGTATGGCATTACATTTCATTTCTTATTTAGTCCACACATTATAGGTTTTATGTGTGCTACTGGCTAACAATCCATTGTCGACACACCATTGTGATTGATAAAAGTTATTTCCAAATGCATACTTTTATAATGGATACGGTTTCAGCCCTGATGGCGGCCATTATGTTTAGTTTTGTATAAACCATCATTGTATGAGTAAATGCTTAAATAAACATCGATATGTAACATGAAGGCAACAGGGTATTCTTGAACATATGTTAGTAACGAAAAAGTGCAATAGTCTACACTAAGTGTTCTGCCCGACAGATTGTTACTGATGAGAAATCGGACAGTTGGCAATAAACAATTCTTAGCCTACGCAAGCTTTAAGCCTCAATAATCTTGGGACAATGACAAGCAGCAGAAAGGATGGTCTGCTTTGCACTAAAATTTGTGAGCAGTGGTAGTATTTTTATAGAAAAACTGAATTGTCGACCATATTCTTACCAGATAACAAAGCCCAATGGGCCTTATGTCCTCTCTTTTTACATGGACCATGATTTTTATCAGCATCATATCTGGATATAATTGAGGATAATCAAATAGTAAAATTCAAACAGATTTATCAAAACATCTTTTTAACATTCATTCTTAAAAAAAAAAACAACAATATAATATTAGCAATTCATCTGGTTTCACCCACTGCTAATAATCCCTATGCACAAGCAAATTACTGAATTAAAATTGTACTATATGTTAGTCCCGAAATGGCCTAGTTTGTGTTGATTGGACCGCATTGTTATTTTTTTTAATAATTATTGAAATTCCTGTTGAAATACATGATTTTAAGTACAGTATGTACTGAATAATGAATATAATCAACAGAAGTAAATAAAAGCCAGGTAATTTTGTGGGTTTAATATCATTGTGAATATTGTATTTAACATATTAATATGAACTTGCATCAAATTTAAAATCGCAATCGTTGGAGTAAAGTTATTGCTACTTGAGGTCTTGGGTTGCCTTCAATCAGAGGATTGTTGAAAGACAACCACCTTGATTTTTTGGCTGCAAACCTGTCAATTATTTGGTCAATGTCCAAATTAATATCGCACAGAAATTCTTACATTGCAACCACTGGAAATTGAGAATGAAGTTCAATGAGACTATTAATGTATATCTCTTGCCAATGTACTGTCTATTGTAGATTTAAATAAAGGATACGGAACAAGTAAAATGGATCCTCTAAGTAAGTGTTGTAGAATTGTTTTCTTTCCATTCACCATCTCCACGACTTCAGAATGACAATTGAGAACTTGATGTGATAATCTGGACAAATAGTCAGCTGTAAATATAAAATAAAGGGCAAATAATCCAAAGATAGCAGCATGTATGATAAAAGCACTGGAATCTCAATAAAACATGGTTATATATAGTGGGTTTCTGTATAATAGACAATAAAGGATAACATCACAATAAAACAAGGACAGAACAAACTATACAGTAGAGACAGTACAATTGTATCTACATTCTCAGAGTATAAACACCGGGGCAGGGAATCCGTATAATGCAGTCATATGGTAAGGACCATTATGGAAGATAAGATAAAGAGCTGACAGTTCTCACTATAGCAGTTAAAAAATAGATAATAAAAAGGGAACGGCAATACTATATACCGGAAAACACAGGAGAACAACCGGAAAACACCATGTTATACTGAATACTGGAAAACACACTAAATACCGGAAAACACCCTAAAAAGGTAACCCGGAGCCGTCTGGTCCTCTTTGTGCCGGGGGTGTGGGTGTGTGTGTGTGTTAGGGTTAGGGTTTTCCAGAAAACCAGCGGATTGGGGGAACAGGGTGGTTGGGTTAGGGTTAGGTTTTTCCGTTGTTTTCCAGAGAACCAGGCTCCGGGTTACCTATTTAGGGTGTTTAGTGTTTTTCCGATATTCAGTATAACATGGTGTTTTCCGGTATATAGTATAGCCCAAAGGGAATGTTAAAAATTTTCGTCAAATTACTTCTATGTTACATTATATCTTTGTTACAATAACACTGCAGCCTTCATTGTCATTGCTACCATTGTTACGAACTTACGATAATGACTTACTTACGATAAGTCTGGATTATCCCTTTTTACGGTAAATCATCTACTCCCGTTGAACCGCAGATCAGATTTAAATCTGTTGATGGCATTGAGAGTTGATTAATGTCTAATTAATCTTTTATAACATGTAAAGCATAAAGAAAGACCTGCAATAGGCAGATTTAGCCCTTGCATAATGTATAACAAATCTACATGTCCATAAACAGATTTATAAATCTTTAAAAAACAATGTGAATAAATTAATTGAAGATGCTAAAATTAAATTTTACTCTGATAAAATAGCAAATGGCGAAAACAGACAAAAAGACCTGTATAAAGTTGTGAATTCCCTTTTGGACCATAATGCTGAGCGTACTATCCTCCCGGACAATGATAATGACACTGAACTTGCAAATTTATTCTCTGATTTCTTTCAAATAAAAATACAGAAAATACGAACTGAACTTGATGATTTAAATAAAACTATTGACTTTAACCCTCGTGATTTTGATAAGTTAGAAAATTCTGTTTATTTAGAAAATTTTAACTTGGTTAGTGAATCTTTTGTTTTAAAGTTTATTAAATCGTCTGCTCCTAAATCTTGTTCATTAGATCCTGTTCCGACTTCTGTTCTTAAGGACTGTCTAGACGAAGTTATTCCAGTTTTTACCAATATTATTAATTCTTGTATATCATTCGCTACTATTCCCAACGTTTTCAAACGAGCTTATGTTACCCCTTTAATTAAAAAGTCTACACTGGATCCTAATGTTTTTAAAAATTACAGGCCAGTCTCTAACTTAAATTTTATTTCTAAAATATTGGAGAAATGTATTGCTTCTCAGATAAAGGCCCATCTAGATGATAATTGTTTGTATGAACCATTTCAAAGTGCTTATAAACAATTTCACAGTACCGAAACAGCTTTAACCCGGGTTTCAAATGATATTTTAATGGAAATTGATAATAGAAAATGTACATTTTTAATTTTATTAAATTTATCTGCTGCTTTCGACACGGTGGACCCTTCCATTCTTCTACGTAGACTTCAATTTAAATTCGGTATTTGTGGCTCTGCATTAAATCTTTTAGAGAGCTATCTTGTGGGTAGAAAACAGTGTATTTTAGTTAATTGCAAATCGTCGTCTGAATCTGTTTTGTCATCTGGGGTTCCCCAAGGTTCTGTTCTTGGTCCGATTTTATTTACCCTCTATACGTCACCATTAGGAGATATTGTCAGAAAATATGGTCTCAGCTTTCATTTGTATGCCGATGATACTCAATTATATATTTCAATTACACCTAATTGTCCATCTTCTTTCAATTTATCAAAATTGCAACTTGAGAACTGTATTAGTGAAATTAGAAAATGGATGTCAAAGAACTTTCTAAAATTGAATGATGATAAAACCGAATATTTGTTATTAGGCTCAAGGCATCAATTAAGTAAATCTGCACAAGATAACCCCCCTGTTGTAATTGGTAATTGTGATATATTTTCATCTTATTCTGCTCGTAATATTGGCGCTATCTTTGATAGTTTTATGCTTATGGGAGCTCAAGTAAATAATATTTGTAAATTGTGCTATTTTAATATTAGAAATATAGGTAAAATACGTAAATGTGTAACTGTAAAGGCCACTAAGTCACTTGTTAATTCTCTAGTCACTTCTCGATTAGATAACTTTAATTCACTTTTAGTTGGTTTACCTTTAAAGCTTATAGATAAATTACAAAAAGTACAGAATACTGCGGCTAGACTTGTTACTTTAACTAAGAAATGTGACCACATAACTCCTGTTTTATATAATTTACACTGGTAACCTGTTAAATATCGAATTGATTTTAAGATTTTATTACTTACTTTTAAATGTTTAAATAATTTAGCTCCTGTTTACCTCTCAGATCTTTTAAAACTTTATACACCTGGCCGAACATTCATACATCAGATAAACTACTTTTAAAGCCCAAAACTGTTCAACTAGTCTCTTATGGTCAGCGCTCTTTTAGTTATCAAGCACCTGTTTTATGGAATAATCTACCATTTAGTTTAAGATGTTGTACATCTCTATATTCTTTTAAAAAACAACTTAAAACACATTTATTTAATCAGGCTTTTAACTGACTCTGTATACAATCGTTAACATGCCCATAATCTTGTTGTTTATGTGTGATTTACATTGTCACGTTGTAAAGTGCCCCTGAACATGTTATATAAAATGGTGCACTAAAAATATGCTGTAAAATAATAATAATGTTTATATGCCCTCATAGGACAAGAAAGAATAAACAAAATTAATTCTTAGCCCTTCCATATATGCCATTTGAAATTGCCCATCACATTTTTATGTGTGCACTGACTATAAACGACCACCAATATGTTAATAACTCCTTGGCTATATGACATATATGTAATAAAAATACTTTAATCTACTGTGTGTTCATATACAGGAGTTGTGTGTGTAAATAAACTGGCAGTATACTACTAATGGCTTTCGTTGGCAATAGTCAGGACCAGATTTAGACTTTGGGGAAAGGAACTTCAGCTCAGGGCCCCTCAACACAGAAATTAAATTACATGACAAATAAAAAGAGTGAACTAAAAACAAATGGTAAAACTAATTTGTTAAAAAAAATAGTTAGGCCCTGAAGTCAACTTTGACTACATTTTTTCAGTTTGTATCATGCCAAAGTAAATTTTTTTTTATAAATGAAATCTTATCGTCCCACTGTGGCTCAGCACAATTGATCCCACACCTCACCCCCTCCCCTTATGAATCCAGTCCTGGCAAATGATGTCGGTTTTATATTTTGTCTGTGATACAAGAGGTTTAATATCAAACAATATAACACAATATATGTAAATCTTACCAGAGAATAACTCTCCCTGTTTTGTGAAGTTTTTGGACTGTGCTACTGAATAAATTTTATCTGGACTTATATCCTGTTTACCTAACAATGGAGCAGCCATGGCTAAGGCTACCATTCCACACCTGTTCAAAGAGACAGAAATAAGAAATTCAAAGCATCTTTCTGCATTTAATTGATCTTAAGGTAAAATAACATCATTTAAACATGCATTATGCAAGAGCAAAATCTGCTTATTACAAGTCTTTCTTTAGGCCTGAAATGTTATCTAAATTATCAATTAGACATTAATTAACTTATCCAGGCCATAATAAACTCTTGATGTGAAGGCTAGCCTTCGATGTTGGCTGGATTAGATTCCTATATGCCGCTAACGGCTATTGATAATTAATCAATAAAAATGGATAATCGAGACTATGCTGTTTATATTAATGATTTTAGTAATGATGACCGAGACTATGCAAAAATTTCAGCCGCTTCTTTCTCGGCTCATAGTGGATCAATTTGACTGAAATTTTCAGCAAATTACCTTTACACTATCTAGTTTTTAACTATTATAGCGAGAACTGCCATCTCTTTATCTTATCTCCAATAATGTATCTTTAACTAAAAAAAAAGATTTCCCATGGTTAGTAGGTAACTACCGCAGTGGTATCTGGTATTCTGAAAGGAGTAAGAATACCCTTAATTCACTTCTTGTCATCTTATGTATAGCCTGCTAAAGACAATTACATATGTACCATTGACTGCAAATTACATTTTTTTTTCTAATCTAAACTGACTGATCAGGAAATCTGTAACAAAATTTGTATTTATATCTAGATCTACCTCCTGGTCAATATAATAAATCAATAGAGCAGATCTGGTATGAAATCTACTCCAAAATCTGAAGAGGTAACCCTTTTCATGGATGTACCTATTTATAAAAAAAAACCCATCTTGGATGGCGTGAATACAATAAAAAAATTTCATAATGAAGACTGAATGCTCTGTCATTTCAGAGTAAATTCAAGATAGATAGATAAATATTTTCTATCCTCTATCCTGGCAATATTAACATGTATTTCTATATATCTGGTTATAATAAATGTATTCAGGTTAATACACAAAAAGTGTTTATAAATACGGGTTATTTTATTCTGCAAGGAAATCAATCTATTTAGTCAATCTATTTACATGATGAACACTTCAAAGGTATGGTTAATGCTACATTAATAACTTTGAGACAATACCAAATACAGTAGTCTTATCTTAAAGGATATGGGTTCAAAAATGATTAAAATCAATCAATCCTAACATAAATTATCTCAATTTTATATTGCTATTTACTGCTTTTATGCCATTATCTCAATTGTCTAAGAATTGTGTGTCAATACCTGATAGATGATTCATTTCTATTAATAAACATTGAGCCAAGATGGCATTTAGTCTAGGTGGATTTTGTTTTAAGTGGCTAAATGGACACTTGTGCCTATCTTGTCCGATAATATGGTCTTTGTTGTCAAGAATGCCTTTTGGTTACATGTGCTTAATTTCAAAAGAGACTAATTCCAACTTCAGTCCATATTCCTGAAGCAATGGTCTGGAAATCCCTCAAAGGCTATTGTTGGATTGGCTTCTGATACTTGAGCTTTTGAGGGAGTGTGTCTATTCTTCCTGTTCAATCAAATCTATCCCAAGTACAGCCACATGAGAGCCCTTCGTTTAATCTGGGGTCTTCCCTAAAACTTTGGACAGTGATTTAAGGTTTTAAAAACGGTCAAAGTATTGTATGTCTCCAAACAGTATTGTTTACATTGTATCCATGTTGATAGGCTCATTTCTGCAATATTCTGCTATGCACTGGTTAATTGGGCATAACAATATCGTGAGTCATGACGTAACGTTATGTAAACATAATATGGTCCAATTTGGAGCTCTGTTTAAAGCGTAATGATATTGTTACGCAGTTAGCTATTGCTTGTTAATCGGACTATTGACCAATCATAATTTGGAACAGAAATTTGCTTCCTTTACAGCAGTGTTAAATGGGATTAGGTATAATCAAATGAAACACTGTGAGGAGTATGACTTCAATCATGCTCGACAGCCGTTTTGCAATGCCAAAGATGACTTATTAAATTCGCTTTAGCCAAGCTGATAATGATAAACTGGAAATTTATTCTTAGGCAAATCTTAAAAGTTCAGGTAAAATGTCAACCAAATATAAAGATATTAGACTAAGACTATTAATTATTCCAATTTTTCTAATACAAGAAAATCAGTTGGAAATGTGCCATACATATATTATAACAAGCCAACAGTGAGGCTGATGTCCCCCGCCGAAATCCCAAAATAAATAGATGACACATATTAATTAATCGCGCATTTATTTTTTTTCAAAAGTATCGAGCAATCATCACTCTCTATCAGATAGAATCAAGGCTATCTTGTCCCAAAGCATCGACAAATGAAATTGCTTAGCTTTAGCTTGAAATGTTAATCATTGAACTCGATAAAGACATTCACCTAATGAACATCTACATCAAGTTTAAACATTCTACCTCAATTAAAAGCAGAGTTGTTATGTTCCAAAGTCTTGACCAATCAAATTGCTTGTTGCTCCTTAGCCTTAGCAGAACATTCTCATCATCGAACGTAGTCAAGGTAATATTATAATGAATCTATACTCAAGAGTTTCCTCACTCTCACTTAATTAAAACTAAAGTTATCGTACCCCAAAGAATCAACCAATCAGATTGCTTATCTCTGCTTACCCTAAGCAGAAAAAGCTCATCTTCGAACTCCATCAAGGCACTGACCTAATGAACGCCTACACCGCAATTAGAAGGAGAGTTATTGTGTTCCAAAGTCTCGACCGATCAAATTGCTTATCGCTCTGCTTACTATGAGCTGAGCAGAAAATGCTCATTATCGAACTTAGTCAAGGTATGGATGTAATGAAACTATGCACCAAGTTTCACCACTCTGGCTTAATTAGAACTAAAGTTATCATGTCCCAAAGCATCAACCAATCAAATTGCTGATCTCTGCTTACCCTAAGCAGAAAATGCTCATCTTCAAACTCCATCAAGGCATTCACCTAAAAAACACCTACACCAATTTTGAACATTCTTGCTCAATTAGAAAGAGAGTTATTGTGTTCCAAAAAGTGTGACAGACAGACGAACCCATTATAATAAGGCAAAGGAAATTTTACTGTCATGCTTTTTCTCTCAATTTGATGTGATTTAACTTTGATAATTGGGTTGGCCCTGTTTATATTACACTATGATCTACTGACACATTCCTAACTAAACACCACACATTAATTAATTGCACATTTATCTTTTTGTAAAGCATTAAACAAGGAAACTTAGCCTAAACAGAAAATGCTCATATTTGAACTTAGTCATGGTCTTTATGTAGTGAAACTACCCTTATATAACAAGTTTTATCACTCTCACGCAATCAGAATCAAAGTTATTATCTAACAAACAATCGACCAATCAAATTGCTTATCTCCGTTTAACCTTAGGTGAAAATGCTAATAATTGAACTCCAAGGCTTTCACCAACTGAACATCTACCTCAGTTAAAATCAGAGTTATTGTGTCCAAAACGTGTGAAAGACAGAAAGATTGGCAAACCAGCCCATTTTAATAGTCCCCTGTTTTCTTTGAAAAGTGGGGAACAAAAATGTATGCCATTAATTAGCTTGCCTATAGTTATAAATCTGTATAAAACTTACTGTGGACCTTTCTGTATTATAGGATTAACTGTATAACCAAATGATAAATAACAATTCTCTTCTCTTCCTCTGCCTTGTCTACAATATACAATTTGTCATTGGGTTGGAATAAACTAAACACATGGGTCAAATAATTAATTTAAATTGATGTATTGAGGTCTTGTGGTACTAGAGTGATATTCAATGGCTGTTTACTATTTTGATTTGGTGATTTTCATTTTTTATGTATTTACATGTTTTTAGACCAAGACCTGGTTATAATTACTGGTCACCAAGGGCTACTCATCTTCTTGATATTTGGGGAGACAATCTTAGAAAAAAAGCCTAAGACTCTGCCAAGTCATGTACAATCGACAATTGTGCATCAATTGACAGACTTCAATTTTGATATGACATCCAAATTTTGAGATGGCTGCGATGATGTTCTGCTCGGTTCTTGATCCCTATAGTACACTCATACTTGTTATTTTACAATTAATAGTATTAAGTGTATAAGGTCTATTGTAGCTTACAAAAAATAAAGCACCGAGTCCATCTGGGTATGGAGTCAGACTGCTATATTCATTTTCAACAAAGATGTAGTTTACAAACAATGCACTTACCTCTCTAAAAATTCTTTGTAGACTTTATATCCTTCTTTTCCCATTTCAATAGGTGTGACCACTTCGAAATTATCCAAAGTGTTAGCTCTCAATTCATCTAAATCAGGAACAGATGATACTTGTGGGGGTGGTGGGGGCGGGGGAGGGGGGAGCATGGCTGACATATTCATCTTGGTTTCCTGATAAATGACCTTCAAAGACAAAGACATTTCAATTATGATTCGGTCAAAAAATATAAGCCAAGTTTTTAAATAACAACCAGATTAGTGTAAATACAGTGTACATTATAAAAGCATCCTATAAAGAAGGATTATGTAAGATTTAGATAAAGAGCTGACCGTTCTTGCTACAATAAAAGTTTAAAGATTGATAATGAACATAATTAAAATTTCAGGTAGCAATACATTATTTAAATACCAGTACTCTTTGAATGTGCATGCGTGTCCAGACTACAGAGGGTGGGTTCAAACCCCTTCCGCCTCACGCAAAGCATAATTTTGTCTCTCCTACATTCATCAAAATAACATCAGCCAAACAAACTGCTAAGTATGGCCACTATTTTGGCGTCACTCCACCCTAATCCTATATATGTATGCGAGGACAGATCTAGGATTTTTTGCAGGAGGGGGTTTGCCAGGTTCCTGTAATGGAAATATGACAGTAGACAATGCATCACACCATCATTGTCTCCAAATTACGTAGGCATACATACACACTGAGCTTTTTAAAGAGTGAAATCCAACGCCCCATTAGACGTCAATTTTTATTATGAATTAATAGGATCACATTTGAATGCCCATCCCATCCCATCCCACCAGGAGCCATGGTGGCTGAGTGGGTAAGACGCTGGCCCGCTTGCCTGAAGGTCGCGTGTTCGATCCCTGCATTGGCTGAGAAAGTTCATTGCCATATTCCGGCGTGACATCCCCTTGTCAGAGGTGCAGGACAAAGGGCCTGACAAGGACAGCTGTCTAGTCATTCAGATGAGATGAAAATCTGAGGTCCTGTGTACACATTCGCGTGCACGTAAAAGATCCCTTGGCAGTTGGAATTCGATATAAGCTTCTGATTTTATAAAAATCTTGGGTAATCCCCTAGACCTCACGCCAAATTTGATGATGTCTCCTCCTGAATACGCCTCTGATGTAGGAGGAATTTCACTGTACTGTACAATAGTGAGATAAGCTTAACCAGTTAACTACTCTACAATACTGGGATCAAGGCAACCCAGTTAATTATTCTACAATAGTGGGATTAAATTAAACTCACCCAGTTAATTACTGTGCAATAGTAGGATTAAACTCACCCTGTTAATTACTGTACAATAGTGGGATTAAATTAAACTCACACGGTTAATTAATATATTTACAGTAGTAGTATGAAACTCACCCAGTTAATTACAGTACAATAGTGGGCTCAGACACAACTAGTTTATTACTAAAAAATATATAGTGGGATTAAATTCACCCAGTTAATTAGCATACAACAGTGAGATCAACTTAAGATGACATACCTATGACCTACATTGTGATGCTTTAGAGTTTAGACCACTCTGCCAATCACCTATTGTTTTTAAAATGTTTATAAATGTACAGTTAAAGGACAATATTGGTGCCAGTCATTATCACATATGTGTTAGAGCTGGTTAAACACATTCCAAATAATTTTTTAACAGAGATCATTGCTACGATAGCTGAGTAATACATGTTTCCCGTATCGGAAACCTGTATTACTCAGCTATCGTAGCAATGATCTCTGTGTTAAAAATATATTTGGAATGTGTTTAACCAGCTCTAACACAAATGTGATAATGACTGGCACCAATATTGTTCTTTAAGTGTTATAAATGCCTGCATTTCATTACTTCTTTAAGTGGCATTTATAGTAATTGAACAGCATTTCATTAATATGCAAAGAAATGGATATTTTATATTCCAACTCCTAAATCACAATAATGCGGATGCTTACTCACAATATTAATGGGTCCACTAAATCCCTGGCCGTTTACAATAACTTCATGCCATAGTAGCTAACTTACTTTAACTTCAATTAAAGGGCCATTTCTTGCACGGTTTAGCACCCTGTATAAAACATGCACCATAGCGCTTATTATCCAATAAAATGTTCCTCATGTGTTGATTAACTCATTCTAAAACGATGATAAACAGATTACTATGCCAAATGAGAGCCATAAACTTAAGCATTATCATCATCACAGTAACTATAAACTACTTTCACAAAGTCTTCACTTTTTGCAAATTCAAGAGATCTACATTCCTTTTACATTATGTGTGCTATATGTTTTGCTCGGCAATTAGTACTGTACACATGTATATAACTATTTCACTCTGATATTATAATTTCTTCATTAAAGGTAAACTATTCTTATTGGTTAAAATCACAAAAACACCATTAGATTCTTTAAAATATTGTATAATTTCATAATTATTAGTAATAGAATCATTTTAATAAAAAAAAATTAATTATATAAGACATTTGCATATTAAAAAACTCACACACAAAAAAACTCACTGCTTTTGATAAGAACAGATAAAACAAAGTCTCACCAAAAACTTTACTAGTGATTTCACAGGATACTGGATCGGTCCATTAAAAGAATATCAACAAGATCACAATAGTAAAAATCAACTGCTATCTGTCACGTCAAATCTTTATGGGATACTGATTCCCTTTAAACACAATAAACTGATGAAAATACCATACATACATGAGAAATATCTTATTTTTGTAGATAATGGAAATAAGAAACATGATATCCTTCTATCAGTACCAAAATTTAACCTTATGATTTACCTGGCCAGTATATGATGCCATATGATGGATAACTCCCTAGAGATGTATTCAAAGAAGTCTATATGGTTCAGGATGTTAATCATTATGAGTACTATAACATTCTAGAAAGAGCTGATAGCAAGATTTTGGACAAGGCTTTGTTTTTTTTTACCCTACAATAGAAAATGTATAGCAGATGTAACGATGGTATGGAAAGAAAACAAGATAAGCTAGATATAGATCTACATTGCCTACGCCAGATGTTCCTGGCTATATACTTTAGAATTAATAATAAACACTGATAATAGATAGTGATGACCATAGTATGCATGTATCTATAATATTCTATCGTTATTATATCATTTAACCTCTTGACTTTTATGATAACTTTCACTAGCCAAATGGAAAAAAACCCCATTGTTTTTTAAGCGTGGGCAGTGAGGAAAAGAGGGAGAAATGGGGTTGAAACCAGGACCATGTTGCACAACATACAATTGAAGTTAGATGTATGTATTATGTCCCTTATGCAATGCAATCCAGGTAAGATACAGTAACACAAGTCAACAGTAAGTATGATAATCCACCAAAAAATAAATGACACTAATTAATTACTTGCACATTTATCTTTTTATAAAGCATACAACAATAAAATTGCTTATCAGACCTTATAGACCTTATAGTCATGGTATTCACATAATGAAGTTGTACATCAAGTTTCATCAATTGTACACAATGACAATGAGAGCTATCATGTTCCAAAGCATTGACAAATCAAGTGGAAAATGCTCATCATTGAAGTTAATCAAGACATTCACCTAATGAATATTTATACCTCAATTAGAAGCAGAAACCCTCATCACGGAACTTGGTCAAGGTATTGATGTAACAAAACTATACACCAAGTTTCATCACACTCACTCAATCAGAATCACGATTACCAATCAAATTGCTCATCATTCAGCTTAAACTCAACAAAAAATGTTTATTATCAAACTTAGTCTTGGTATTGATGCAGTGAGAGAGAGAGAGAGAGAGAGAGAGAGAGAGAGAGAGAGAGAGAGAAATGGGGTCTAACCTCCACTCCACACAAACTAGGTCATTTCAGGACCAACATGGTTTTTAATTTTATTTCAATAATTCGCTTGCTCCAAAGCATCACAAATCAAATTTCTTACCTGTACTAACATGAACTGAACTTGGATAAGTAATTCACCTAATAAACACCTACACCAAGTTTGAGCCTTCTACCACAATTAAAAGCAAAGTTATAATGTTCCAAAAAGTGTTCCAAAAGACTAGGGCCAAAAAAAGTTTAATTCATTGAAATCCAGGAGAAAGCCAATAAGGTTAGAACAGCATCATGACTCTTTGCATCTATACAAATTTAACTAAAATTAGAAAATATCTCAATCGCACCTGGAAAATGTGATATTAATCAGTATACCCACTACATGTAATACATGTGTGATGGATCCACCCACCTAAATATTGGGTGTCTCAAAAATATTACACGTTCTTACAAAAACACATCAACTATTAGTAAAAGATATATGTATGGAATTTATTAAATATCTACAGGTGCCAACCGATTAACATCATGTCAGTTTGTTTATCTAATATTCTAATATCAACCAAACTTCATATGTTTGGGATGTTGTAATTGATAAATTATAAATTGGTACATGCTGATGAGTACATGAGGAAAGTACCATGTGTTTTTCTAACTTATTTCTCTAAGTAATTTTGTCAAGGTGACTTTTAAATTGATGTAGATTCCAGAAATTCTCAAATTTCTATACAATCAAATAAGATTAACTTATTCAATTATTCTAGCATCTGTTAGAAATACCTCTCTTAATCATTCTTCTCACAGAAAATATCTGTAACATATGACTTCATTTAGCAACCAGAATGATTTTTCATTCTTAAACGAGACAACTGAATTTTGGTTTTCTTCTCATATAACTGTTGTTGTCAATTTTTAATGACTTTTGAAAATTTAAATATATCAAACTCTGTGCCTGTGAACATGCAATTTTTAAAACAATATTAATATGAAATAGCATCAGTAAATGTCTAATTTAATACTCTTTTCTTTGAGGAAAAAATCTAAAACATTTCACTGAGTGTAAGAGCTATAAGTACAGGTAATTCTAATCAAGGATACATAATGCTGCACTACACATATATACCCATAAAAACCATACAAAATATCAAACATGAACCAAACACACAAGACATCATCTAATTAAGTGACAAGTGATATCTGGTGTTTAGAAAATCATAAGCATAACCTGCCTCATTTATGACACCCATGACTACTTGAAGCCATTATTTCCAAAATGGCCAGGTTTCATGCCATTGGAAAATGTGAAATGCCATCCTGTTACCAAGGTCA